AGGGGATACAGCGGCACCTATATTCCCTCAAAGGCGGATCCGCCATATCCCCCCAGAATCGGTACCGCTGTATCCCCTCAAAGGCGGAGCCGCCATGTCCCCCCAGAATCGGTACCGCTGTATCCCCTCAAAGGCGGATCCGCCATATCCCCTCAGAATCGGTACCGCTGTATCTCCTCACGGCTCTCCCCTCCCGGTCCCTTCTCTGCCCTCACGGACCCTTCCCTCCCCTCACGGCTCTCCCGCCGCCAAGCACGGACGGACCAGAGCGCAGACGGCGGGGAGGGAGCGCAGCACCCTCGTCCGGCTGCTACAGAATCACAGAATATCCTGTGCTGCAAGGGAGGATCACGGAGTCCAACCCCGGGACCTGCTCAGGACACCCCAGTAATCCCACCCTGTGCCTGAGAGCATTGTCCAAACTCTGGCAGCTCCCTGAACTCTGCTTTGGGGCCCTGACCCTGACCCTGTGAGGAACCTGTTCAGTGCCCGGCCACCCTTTGGGGGAAGAACTTTTCCTGCTATTCAGCTCTAACCTCCTTTGGCACACTTTAAAACCTACCTGAAAGTTGTTAGCCTGAAGGAGTGTGTTTACAGGAGTGGAGACAAACCTACCTGCCACACAGGTACATGTTACTTGTGCAAGGGGCTTTGCTTCTTTCTTTAAATACTTACGTGTAAAGGTTGTAATGAAGTGTGTAAAACATCACTCAGTTGCCTTAAAATTAACCTCCAGAGACATACAATGGTTTAGAGCATCTAAAGCCAAGACCAGCATCTAGGCTCTTAGAGCATCTAAAGCCAAGACCAGCACTACCCTCCTGCTTAGTCTCTTGTGTAAGTGACTGCTCTGGCAACACATCAGGCCAAGAGGACATTTAATACTATAATAACATATTTTCAATGAACCAAGCTGCCTCCTGTTGTGCAGGAGTCTTCATGATGTGAAGGATTCTTCCAGGGAAAGCTATACTGGATTACCTCTATGTTCACCATAAATGAAAGTGGAGAATGAATCCAATTAGCAACACCCTTTAGATTTCTCCTCATGGGGGACTGTCCCTGTCCTCCCCCTCCCCAAGAGCACTTGGCCATTAAAATGTCAAAATTTGGAGGTGTTTGTGCACCCTGCCACTAAAAATGTTGATATTTGGAGGTATGTCTCACACCAGTGCCCTCAGTCACACAAGCCCCTGAATTTGTACATTTTCCAATCGGTGTCGCTCATGTTTTGTGTGATCCTGCAGCAGCATGTCAAAAAGGAAAATGAGCTGTTACACCCAAATCACCCTGAAAGTCTGTATTTTCCAAGAGAACTTGTAATATCAGCACGGACAGACCACTCCATAAAAACTACCCAAACAAGTGACATTTTATTGGCGAGTTCTGCTCATAATGAATTTCCTTTTCCACGCTCACATCTCCTAACAGAGCGACTGGGAGAAAAAAAAAACCCCGAAACGAAAACAAAACCGTTTTGGGTAACATTCCATTTGCAAAGGATAAAAATCATTTAACATTTTAAAATAATATAGAGGATAACAAATTGAAACAGAAGTTCTAGAAAAACCCAGCCTGGTTCCCCCAGGAGCTGTTCCTCGCCCGGCTGCCACCACCTCAGCCCCGCTCTCAGGGTACCAAGGTGCTCTCATTTGGGGCTCAAATAAAAGGACTGGGACATGTGCTATCATCACCATTCAAAGCCCTGTTGTTGTACATTCTTCACAGAAAAACACAGAACAGTTTGCAGTAAACCAACCAGTTCTTTTTCTTCCCTTATTCTAACGCTAAGTCATACTGAAAGTTAGGGGGAGGGGGGGAAACGTGGCTTCAACATTCACCTACTTTATCACACACAAAGGTTTCTACTAAGAGCATATCCAGGTTGAAATACACATCTGGTTTCCGTCATGAAGTTAATGCTTATGGGGTGCGAGATGAAATCTACTTCAAAATGATAAATATTTTTTGATGAACAAAGTGTTATTTTTTTGCCTTTTGGACCAATGCTTGGTTGCTGGGTTGTTTCTCCTGAGCCTTGCCAGGAGAGGCAGCTTTCCACAAATGAAATGATTACTGGTGGCAATCACACACCTTACCATTGGTAAGATGTTGTATTTAGCACGTTTTGTTTGCATTCTGAAAACCCCTGGTTTGTTAGGCCCCCGAGGCTTTGTACACCAGAAATTACACAAGTCAAGCACAGAAAATTGTAAATTGGTATCCACAGCCATTTTGAGGTATTCCACAAGAAACCTGGCTCTGCACCTGAATGTTCCTCTCAAAAACAAGTAAAAAAACACCCAAAAAACAACAACCCGAAGCCCTAACTGGAGCGGAAATTTAATTAAAAAAGATTCCTTCCATCCCCACGTTTCACCACATTTCATCAACAAGGACATACTTAATTCCCCAGGGGCACAAAAAAAGCCTTCTTTTTCCTGGAATCATAATTTCAGTACTTGATTCCTAAATTTCACTGTGCACTTGGGAAGAGATGAAGACGAGGGTGTTGTTTTCTAGCCAAACCAGAGAAACACATTCAGACAGTGGTTTTGGTTTATTTAATTTGTGAAGGTGCTTGAGGAAGATACCAGCGATCCCCTTGCGTTGAACACAGCAGCGGTTCCTACTCTAACCTCCCGCCTGCGAGGAGGAGGCTGGGGAAAGCCCTGGATCGCAGGTTCTGAAGACCAAGTTAGGAAGAAATGTGATCTCCTGGGTCTGGATTTGGCTTGGTAGAACCTCTGGAGGCAGTCGCGGTCGCTCCCGTGGGACAGGAGACGCTGCTTCACCACGTGAGCAGATCCCAGAAGGGACTGGCTTTCCTGTTAGGGCTGAGGTGGGACGGGCAGCTTTATTCCTGGGGTAGCTGCTGCTCTCCTTTGAGTAGTACATTCAGAATGAGTTCTGACAAACCAGAGCTGTAGTGCCAGTCCTGTGCCGTTTTCACAGACGCGAGAATCGCCCGCAGCGTCTCAGCTGGTCACGCTGTTCTGCGTGAGAAGTGGAAAACCTCCGCACTGATCTTAGAAGGAAATAACTCGCTACTTCCGTAGCTGTAGAAAACCCATAGGCAGTAATATTTTCTAAAGTGCTTCTTTACTTATCAGTTATTCTTTTAAAAATCAGACTTGTATTTCGTAGCGGCATCGTTTCCTAGTAGGCCATGGACCAGCAGATAGTTTCTGATGTAAAAAACCCATTACATATTTTGTTTAAGCAAATGACAGTTGCTTTGATAAATGCACCAAAGAGAGAGATCTAAGTGCAAACCCCCACCATTTCTGAAAACACGGCCTTATGCTGGTTTATTAATGCAACCTTACATCCTTTAAAAGTCATTTACTTCAAGAGCAGGGATTAAATAATACAAATAAGAATTGAAAATTCAATGAAGCTATTGCCTATTTACCCTGAAATAAAAGAGTCTCACGATTCTACTGGTGCAAAAATCCCTCCGAACACATTTGTTTTATTGGCAAAGTCATTTAAGGTCACTTTTGCTTCCAAGACCATCTTCTTCCATGGTTTCCACTGAAGGAGTTTTGCTTTGTAATGGCTTGTGGTTCCACAGTGATTTGTAAATGAAAAACCTACTATGAATAACTCTACCGTAGTCACTAAATTACAGATACTGTCATGAGAAAAGTCCCAAACTTACAGTGTTTGTTTTAAAATTTTCAGCAAGACACAAAATTCCAGTCAAAGTGTTTTTTTTTTCCTTTGAGTGCCATTTTAAATGGCAATAAATGGCTGCTGTGCCCTGTGGATGGAGAATTCCATGTGCTTCTTATGTGTTGTACTTCGAATGTCCCCAGAGCTCGGCGTGGAAGGGCTCCCGCGGGCACAGCCGCTGGGATCAGCTCCTCCTATGGATGTAGTGCAGCAGAGGCTTGGATCTGCGCGGGGAGACGCCGGCTGGGAGGCACGGAGCAGGTGTTGGGGTGGCCTGGTCTCACAAGGCAATGACACGAAGCGTCCCGGGCAGCAGGACGCAGAAGCGGCTGCGGCGTCGTTCCGGTTCCGAGGAGCGGTGGTTCCCGTGGGAGGGGGTGGCTATTGCTGGGACAGCAGAGCGCTCCGGTTGGCCTTCATCTTCTCCAGCCTCTTCACCAGGTGGCCATTGCTGACCTCCAGTTCCTCGGTTTTATCCAGTGCTGAACGAAGCTGAAGGAAGGAAGGAAGCAGAAAAACACCGTAACTTTCACCGTGTTATCCCTTTCCAAAGGCAAAGCAAGGTTTGCAGTCTCCAGCAGTAACTGACCATACCAACTTGGAACACAAAGCAGTTAAAATTCCTTCAGCAGAGTTTAACTGCTTTGCAGGCCACACACACAGGTGTTTAAGCACACTGCCAAGAACCCAGGGTATTTACAGAATGTTGAATAAAGAAGGCCAAGTTAAGAAGAAATGTGATCTCCCAAGTCTGGATTTGGCTTGATAGAACCATGTGTCTTGAGACAGTCGGCACTGAGAGAAGGTTACTCCTGTGGAACAGGAGATTCCCAGAGAATCACAGAATTTCCCTCAATCCAGAGGCACAAGGCTCTGGGTCACGTACACCTGTCTCACTGCTCAGCTTTTATGTTCCTGGTTCCTAGAACTCTATCCACAGCTGTGACTCAGAGCCTCAGTTTCCTGTAAAACCCACCACAGGATCAGGATAGGGAGAGAGAGGTGGACTGCACAGAACAGTATTTACAGGCAGCAAAGAAGAAGGAGTATTTAGAACAAGCAAGGAGCCATACTGACAAAAAAAAATAAATAAAAAATCAAAGAAGCGCCTTAGGAGGAAGTGAGAGAGAAGCTGATAAAGCTGTTCAGGCTCTAAACAGACAGAGGCAAGGTCAGAGCCTGTGGACAGCCACACTACCCCAAACAGGCCTGAACAGATTGGCAGAGCAAGGAAAACAGGCTCACAAAGAACAACTCACATCCCTTTAGCAAGTCAGTTTAGGAAGGAATGCTGAAAAGGCAGTGGGAGCTCCCAGCCGTGACCGGTACTCCAGTTTGAGTGCTGAAAATCTGGCTGTGCATTTAGAAGGAGTAGTTAAAGCAATATAGAAATTAAATGCTTATCCCTTGCTGTGCCAAGAAGGGTGGTTCCTCCCCTGAGACTCCCCAGGGAGGCAGGTTTCCCCCACATGGAGCAGGCTGACCTGGCACAGCTTGCAGGTGGAGTTACCTCTCTCTGCAGTTTGCGTTTCTCTGCCTTCAGTTCATCTTCCACTCGCTCGGCGTTTTCAGCAGCAGTTTTGTATCGGGCTACCTGGCCTTCCAGTCGTATTACCTGAGGTGAAGGCAAAGGTTGGGAATTAGAAGATGTACCAAGAAGTTGCTCTGAAACTTTACTCTTCCACTAGTACCCCAGGAATAACCAGAGAGATGCTAGCTCCTCTTGGATAAAATAAAGGCATGTTTTCAGGGGAAAAAAAACAACACCAAGGAAACCTGGCAAAAGTAACTTTTATACACAACCATATTAAATATGCTTCCAGCAACAAAAAATACAGTCCATTGAGTAAATTTCTCTTAGCGGAAGTTTTCAGCAGAATTCATCAGGTACTTTTGTCTTTGACCATTCTTTCTTCAGTACAGAGGAATAATATATTCCTTCTTCCCCATACATAAATGTCATAGCTCCAACACTTAAAATAAATTTCTTATTTTAAGGGAAAAATCACAGTAAACATGATTTCATTTATCAAAACACACTTTCTCTTTGTATTCTCACCATGCCTGAACAAACAGAACAAGCCAAGAACTTACATTCTGCTCCAATGCTGTTATCTCTTGCTCAGACTTTGCTAGTTTAAATTTGAGATCACTGATCTGTCTGTTGGCATCTCCTAAAAGAATCGCAGATTTATCAGAGATGTCAGAACAAGTGTGAACAGTTTCTAACAAGTCTGTCATAAAATTTCCATGCATCAGGGATCTACATGGGGCAGTAGGAGAGTGGTTCTGTCAATAAATGCCCAGCAGAGGCACCATTCCCAGTCCTGTCTGATTCCCAACCACTCTGAAGGCAGAATTGGTTTGATCTCACCCCAGCTCTGCTGAGGAGCAACAACAGAGATTTCCAACTGCAGTCTTAAACAAAGGCTCCTAATTCCCTCACCTCTGTAGAGGTGCATGGCTGCTCCTGGGCCAAAGCTCCCCTGGAACTGTAGGCTCATTCTTACTCAGAGCCATGTGCTTATTATTGAACTGATACATTTTCTCACTCACATGCAGGGCACAAAATTCTCCTAAAATCAAAATACAGCTCACTTTGGAGGTCAATCATGTGCATATCTGTCCCATTTTCCAGAACTTCATCTTCAGACTGTGTGTTTTCCATCTTGCTATTCCTTTGCTTTTCTTCCAGTTGTCCCTTTAATTTTTTAATCTGAAGGACAGAAAATAATTATTAAAATCACCAAGGGGAATTGTGGCTCGAATTCACTTGAGTATTATAAAAAAAACAACTTATTTTTTAAACCTAAATTCCAAAAAATCTCTTGTTGCAAAATAACATCCTAGAAATTCTTTTGGCAGCTGACTCATGATATCTTGCACGTCAGTGCTTATGTACAAGTTCAGGGCCAAAACAATGAGTGCAAGATGACTGGTTTCTTAGAAAAGCCATAAATCTCCTGCAGGCACGTTAATGTAAAACATTCTTAAAAACTCCCAAAGCTGTGTTTGTTTGCGTGTGAGTCTCAAGGCCAAAGTGTCCTGCAGGACAACAGATCAGCTGAAGTTTTTTTGAATTTTATAGCCCCTATGGAATACCATGGTACCAGCAAGAATTCCTTTAATTGTTCTTCACCCATCTGCAATTACTCCAACAAACCTTTCCAAACGGCCCCTTGACCCACAGACCCAGCAAAGGGGAGGGCTTAGTCTTGGATAGAAAATTTGCTTCTATGATTTGTGAGCCATGCCTGTTTTTCCCTTGGGCTTGGCCAACCTGCAGGATTATTATTCAGAAGTAAGAGGTACACGTATTGTCCGTGTACCCTGAGTTAACACACAGGAGGAAGGTTTTGCAGGAAGAACAGAGTGGCCAGCAAGGCAGCAAGCCCTCAGCAAGAGCAGCCAGACCTCAGCAGTGCTGCTCCACACCTTGTGTTTGGGCTATTTTCATTGTCTTAGTCCTTTACTGATCTTCACTTGCCCTGTGCTTACCTGGTCTAGCAAGGACTCCCGTTCATCAATGAGCTTTTTCAGCCTGTCTGGAAGAGAAAGGGCAGAGTTCAGTGCTGGCTGCTCGCGCGGCGCATCGGGGAGCGCATCTGAGACACGAGACTGACCCCTCCAGGTTAGTGACTACTGATGGGGGGAGTTAGGGCACGTACCACAGGACAGGAGGCCCAGCTGGGGCTGGGAAGGGGCTGCAGCCAGGGCAGTTATGGCATTCTCACAGAACATGCTTGTCCCGGCAGTAGCAGCAGCCAGCTGCATGCAAAGAGGCTAATCTTCTACGTTAGGTTAGCATGCAAGAACTCTAGGGTCAAGCACAACTGCAACACAAAATCTCACAAATCTTGACAGTTTAACACAATGACAATACTGTAAACACCTATAATCACAGCTAAGCACATCCTCTGCACTTTAACTCTTCCCTTCTTTTACATGGCAGTGACATTTTAGCACCAATATTATGACCAGAAAAACATTTGCCCGTCAAATTATTTGTGTTTTGAACGCAGCAGTCTGGTAAAACTCTGTTTTCTCTTCAGAGTCAATTCTCCAGGTCAGACATCAAGAGTCAATGGACAATCTGCACCGACTGTTGTGCTACATTTGGGCTTGGAAGTGCTACAGATCAGCACATGGGTACGTGCAGCCGTCCTTAATAAAGTGCACTCTACAGAATCAGACAGCTGGAAAAAAGAACTCCAAAGTAAGCATCCAAATAACTTCATTTTTTTTTTTCCCTTCCCCATTAAGGGCTGAAAAATGTGAAAGTACATTTTCTTACCACCCAAATGACCTCATTAATTAACAAGCTCAGTTTGTTCAGGTACACCTCAGGCAGAAGTACACTGCAACATCACATTCAAATACACTCATTAGGAGAGGATCTGTTGACCTCAGCTGGGTCTCACTGCAGGTTTGTTCAGCTGGCCTCCCTTGCCAGCAGTGCAGAGCCCAGGCTGTTCAGAGCACAACTCCACAGCTGAGGTCTGGCCTGCTGATTAAATGGTTAGAATCCAAAGGTCACTCAAGAAAAAGATCTTTTTGTAAACTTTAAGAAAGCAAGATAAATTACACATAAGAGCCTGGTGGACTTTTACCAGCTAAATTCTATTCATAGACAGACTTAAATATTTTTGAAGAGCTTTAAAAATACCATTTCTTCTTTGTTGACAACTTCTGAACAGGCCAAAGTCTTGTAGTTCTCCCTTTTTTCTTGTTAGCACATGCACTTAAAGGGAATCAAGAGTCTTTATTCAATCAAATCATGGTGGAAACTGGTTTCCCAGTGGAAGTCATTCTGCACAGCAGACATGTAGAGTCCATTAATGTGGTATGTCATTCCTCTCCTGGGAATACACACCACCCATTCCAGAGCATGGAATAAAACCTTTACCTTTACCTGATGCAATACCCAAACACAGATCTTAGCGTGACATCCCAGTTCAGCAGATCTATGGACTAATTTTGAACCTTCTTTTTTTTTTTTCCCCGTCCATTTGTAACACACCCAGCATTGCTGCACCTGAGCACTGATATGAAAAAACAACAAAAAAAATCCAAACCCACTTTTTCTTTTGCAAATACCACCCACAAGCAAAATTTTCTAGTAGAAACCCCTTCAAAATAATAAAACAATTTATTTATATTATAATACAATTTCACAGATCTATATGGGAAGGAAAGAAAAAGCAGAAATTCTGCAAAGATGAAAGATAAGGAAGAAAAACAAAGGTCAATGAAGAAAGCAAGAACAGCAAACAGGTTGGAGATATTTGGAATCAAAAGATTGTGTTGTGATTTACAGGCCAGCAAAGATTGAGAAATGCAGTTCCAAGGACTGGAAAGAGAATGAGGACTGGTGCAGCAGGAAACCTTAAAGCCACTGCAAAATTAGCCCAAACTTCCTGACTCCAAAGGGGCTGAGTAATGCTCTTTGATCCTGAAAGTCAGTTAGTTGTGACTTCCATGAAAACACCCACTGCTGTGGGGCGAAATCTACCTGGCTGAAGAAGGGACACCTCTTCCAGCTTCCAGTGAGGAAGCACACTGCCTTCCCCAAAGCCCTTTTCCTGCCAAAAGGATGCATTTTGGGGTGAACCTTCAAGTTTGATCTCACCCTCAAATTCTCTCTGCCCTCATTACAGACATCTCTGCACCCCACTAGGACATGCAGACAGCAGGGTTTGCCAGATCAGGGAAAAAATCAGTTTGCTAAAACTTCCATTCACATAGAAAAGTTTTCTGCCTGTAGAGGTGAGGGTCTCTTGGGTTTCACTTATCCTAAACCCCCACACTTACACAGAAAACTTACTCTGCAGTCACTTTAATTTTGCATTTGGGAGATATTTTTCCAACAAATCTGAGGACCTTGAGAAGAGGTGAGCAGGAAAAGAACAGTCTATTGAATCAGGACAGGAAGCAGCTAATTAAAATTCTCATCTGTAACAGTCATTATCCTTATTCCATATAAAAAGATACTACAGTGAATAATTAGAGTATGACATTCACCTCAGTTAACTCTGGAAAGGTGATTCCCAGGGTACTCACTGCACCAGTTCATGGCCTTCACAGCACAGAGTTTAACAGAGGACTGAGGAGGAGATGGGGCCTGTGAGGGAGCAGGACACAGAGGGGTGAGCGTGGTGCTGACCAGTTCTGCCACAGTTTCTAAGTCCAGTGACTGATCTCATTGCATTGCAGGTGACTTGAGGCATTGCTTACTCAGGGCTGCTCTGGTGGCACCAAAAATTCCCAAATCAGCCACAGATCCTCCATGTCTCTTTCCACTTGGAGAGGAGCATGGGATGGGAAGCAGCTGGTTTTACCTGCATCATTTACATGATGTGGCCCAGGATGTAACTAACCCTGATGTAAATGGAAGGGCTAAACTGCTCTTGGAGGATGGAAATGGAAAAAACATCCCATGAAATCCCAGCCCCAAGCAGCTATTCAGAGCAGCCTGCAAGAATCCAGCTGTCAGAGCAGGTTGGGCAATACTCCTTCCCCAGATCGCTCCATTTATTTTGGATGATGAGAAAAAGCTTTCCTGTCCTTCCCAGAAGAGGGACACTGCCAGGGACAGCACAGGATTTGGAAGACACCAGCTTGCAGTACTGATGTTGAGGGGGACAGGACTGTTCTTCTCTATAGTAAAGAAGGTATTGAACAAGACCTTTTCACTATTTATTCACCTTTTTTATCAAGTGAGTCTCCTGAGATACTGCTTTTGAAAGCATTTCAGACTAGCTCTGATATGCACAAACCTGGGCTGCAGCATTTATGTGCCACTAGGTGATGACCAGAAAACCCAGCAAGCATTTGGGGTTATTCTGGAAGACAAAAGTTTCATCCTTGGGTCACATACTGATTTGCAACATTCCAGGATGGACTTCTGGCACACCAGCTACTCTGCAGTGTCTCCCCATGTTCTTGCTCCCAGTTACACTGGGAGTGGAATCAAAGCTGCTACAGGGACAGGTAAGATTGGAGGTGTTTCTGCTCCTGTGACTTGGCTTTGAAAAGGAATGCTCCTAAAGATGCTGTGTTTTCTGAAGTGGAAAAAAACTATTTAAAATCAGAAATGAACTCCTAAGAAATACACGATATAGATTTATATATTTTCATAAGAAATACAGGATATAAATTAGACATGTTGCCTAATTTAACTCTGATAGATCCATCCATAGTAGAGGTGAAGCCTAGCAAGAGAATTTAATGATCTGTTTAAGTCTATTTAACAGTTAAACCCCACTTCCAACATTAAAGCCTCATATTACTGTTGAGAGTACAGCAGAGCCAAATCTTTAAATAAACACTGCTATATGCTAATAAGAAATGCTTATAAGATCTATGACTTTTTGGATTAGCATCTAGTGTAAACCCTTAGGAACAACTGCCAATACTTACAGAAACCATGGTGGATCTGCTGTAAGTTGGAGAGAAGCCACATGAAAGGAGTTACAAGGTTACAGACCTGTTAGAGCTCTACAGTTAAGGTGCCATCACATATTCAAGGTGCTCAAACCCCGAGGCTGCCCAGTCCTAGGGAGATGGCTCTTGTAGCTACGTAGCACAAGGCAATAAATTGAACAAAAGCTGCAGAAAAATGGTGTTGAAATGACACAGGTTTAAATAACTCCTTGTGCAGGTTTAGAAACAGTGGTCTGGACAGGTATTTTCAAGTATAAAATATGTTTATTTAAATTATATACAGCAGTACATTTTGATATACATCTTTAAATTTTGCAGTCTGTCCGTGCTCTGACAACTTTGTAACATCAACACAAATACAGCCTTCCATAGCCCACACCTTCCATCCATCTGCATTCCCCTGGGACATTCATTGCTTAACACTTTCAATGAATATTCATATATGCAAAACATGCTCTTCCTCCCAAGCACTAGCAGAGATGCAAGGGGAAATACAGCAAGGGAGTCCAAGAGCCTAATTTATGCCAGCAATTCAAAGCAATCCAGCTCTTCCAAAAGGCACAGGGGGGCTAGTACACAAAACAACAGTTGTCTTTGGTTTGATATCCACCAAGAGTTAAGACATGCAAAGTTATCTTCTCTCCAGAAGGGAAGAGAGAAGATGTGTTTCAGAGATAAAAACATTCTTTCAGAATCAGAATTTGCAAAAAAAACCAAAAACTTAATGCAGTAAGCAAATATAATTTTAAACAAAAATCTTTTTTGAAAAATATATATTTTATATATTCATATCTAGACAGTACTTGATAGCAAACCTAAGCACACATTACAGTGTGTATTGACGCTTTCTCTGGAAAAAATAAAAACCCCATGTGAGACATGGTGTAAAAGGCCTATTGTGGTGCAAAGTGCCTAGATAAGTAAACATGTATGTGTTTATTCCTTTCAGAAAACTAAGACCTGTATGTTGCACTTTCTCCAAACTGTGTACTGCTCTTCCAAAGTGCTCAGACTAAGCAGATTCACAGTGATCTAATTATATTTTAGAATATGACCGTGTAAGAAATACACGCAAGGTGGAATGAAAAGATATTTTTTCTTCATCTTAAAAAAGAGATTGGTTCAGAGGCTTTAATCATTCTGAAAGAAGTTTCACCACCAGTGTGGCTGATCTGCTGAGTTCCTTCATGAAGAGTTAATGTACTTGCTGTAGACTGAAGTACAAGTAAGCATAATGTGCATAAGTTCACAAAGGCCCAACGTACATTCAAGATATTGATCAACTAGGCTAGAATAAAATAAAAAAAAATCCTGCAGAAATTCCCCAGGAGCAGCTATCCACACTAGAGGTACTTTAATTGCATAATAGTTTGAATAGTCAAGTTGTGAAGCTTCCTTATTGGGTGATAAGCTTTCAACCTGAGACACAGCAAAACCAAACTCACTCATTTCTTGGCTGAGTGGCTGGGTACGACAGCGAATAACTTAATACTTGCATCATTACCACATCCATGCTTTATGCTGAGTTACCTACAAAGCTCTAAGAGTATTCCAAGGTCTGATGTCTTGTGCAAAGTGCATGTTTGTGTCCTGGGATTGGTCACAGGGCATGGAACTCGTGTAGGTTTGAGATTCTGAACTCAGGAGATTGTACAGTCATCTCTGGATCTACCCTTACTCCTTTTACCAGCCTGCAAATCCTCCCTGCTTTCAGCCCTCTTAATGAAAGCACTTTCCAAATCCTGTTCTGAAACATCTTGATCCAGTAATTTTCCCACTTTAATAGAATCTGATAATTTGATTTTATCTTCCTCCACATCAGCCTCCTCATCAGTTTTCCCCAACGCTTCCCCTTGCAAGCACCCTGTTTCCTCAGGCTCTTCTTTTTTATGCTGCAGGACTTCACCTTTGGTCAAGGCATCTTTGGTTTCCATTTTGTCTGTTCCCTCTTCAGCTTTGTCTGTGTGGGCAGTTTTTCCAACAGCACCATTTGCTCCATCACCCTCTTCTCCCGGTGTATCATCTTTCTCTCCATCACGTTTTTCATCAGATTCCAGTATTTGATTTGACTCTTCATCAAAATCAAATGCATCACCATCATCTTCCAGGCTTTCCTCTGTTTGGTCCTCCCATTTCACTTGTTCACTAATGTTTTCATCCTGCACAGGTTTCTGTGCCAGGGAATTATTTACACCTTCCTCCAATTTAACTTGTTCTCTAATGTTTTCATCCTGCACAGGTTTCTGTGCCAGGGAGTTATTGACACCTTCCTCCAATTTAACTTCTTCACTAATGTTTTCATCCTGCACAGGATTCTGTGCCAGGGCATTATTTGCACCTTCCTCAGAAGCAGATTCCCCACCAGGGTGGTCTGCAAGCTCTACCTCTTGCTGATTTTTTTTCAGTGTTTCTTTACTGGCTTTGTTTTCAGCTGTTTCAGCTATGCCTACACCTGACTCCTCTTTAGATTCACCTTCTACTTGTTTAATCACCTTCTGCACTTCACTCTCTAAAGGAACATTTTTCTCTCCTTCTCTATCACCTGTTGTTTCTTCACTACACTGACTTGTTTGAACCTCTACCTTTGGATTCAAATCTTCCACCCATTCTGTCCTACTTTCCTGTCCTTCCCCAGCCTCATCCCCTTCAAGTTCTGACTCCTTAATTTCATCTTCTGGAAGACTCAGGTCTAAATGGGTTTCCTGAGTGGTCACCTCTCTCACAACCTCTGTTCCTGGCTGTGCCTGCTGCAGCTCACTTCCCTTTCCCTCGGAGCCTCCTGCCTCCACAGGTGCCACACCTTGCTCGGCTGTTTCAGCAGAACACTTCTCCAGCTCTTCCATCAATCCTCCCTTCTGTCCATTCTTCTCAGCTGTAGCACTTCCATCTTCAGTTTTTCCTTGTGTACTTGGTTCCTCTGGGGATGCTGAAGGACTGTCCTCTGAAGAAGCTGGTTGGATGAATGCCTGATGTTCTCCATCTTCCTTTTCAAGTGACTCTGCTGGGACATCCCTTTCACTTGGCTCTGCCCCCTCCAAACCCACAGACTCAGCTTCCCTTGGCTGACCCTGAACCACGTTCCCAAGCTCATCTTCTTCTTCAGCCCTGTCACCTGCTGTTTTATCACTGCTTCCATCAGTGCAGTCAACAAACTTTTCCTCCAAAACATTTGCAACCTTGTTTTCAGCACTTTCTTCTGAGTCCTGGGGTTCCTCTGGAGTGGAACTCTCCACATTTCCCTCTTCCCTAAGCAAGCCTGCCACTACTCCCTCAGGTAGCCCTGCCTGGTTAGAAACCAGCTCACTGCTCTCACTTGTACTGTCAGATCCTTCATCCATTTCATTATCACTCAAGGCATGGCTGGTTTTAAGATCCTCTTGCTCTCCTTGGTTGGGTACAGCTTCTCCCAGTTCCTGCTCTGTACCTGAGTCACAAAACATTTCCTGAGGAGTCTCAAAAATCTGGTGGCCTTGCAGAGAGCCCAGCTCCAAGTTCTCATTTGTCCTTGCACTCAAGTCATGGTGTTCAGCCTCTGTACTCTCTGGCTGCTGGACTGCTGTGCCCTTGGACTCTGTGACCTTTCTCAAGCCATCTGTGTCACTGTCAGTGTTTGAAGAAGTGCCCCCTGACACAGGTTCTGTAAGGCTTTGGGCTTGCTCTGCAAACCTACTCTCTGGTAACATCACTGCTGGCAGGGCATCACGTTCTTCAACCATTTGTTCTGCCTTTGCATTTTCAGCAGCATGCAATGTCTGTACTTCCTCCTCCTCAGACTCCTCTTTGTGTTCCTCATGCTCAGTATTCTGCAAGATTTCTCTTTTCCCCACATCCTCCAAAATCTCATTTTTCATCTCCACTTCATTGGCTTTGCCTAAAAGACCATTGAGAAAGTTGAGGGGGCCACACCACAGCTCTCACCTCCCCACTTAAAACCCGAAAGACAGAATGAGAAGAACAGGTTAATAAAAGATCAGCTTTTGCCAATTTTTGTGAGGCAAAGCAGCGATTGAATTAGTAAGGATCCAGGGGGTTTGATCAGTGAAACTCACCACCACCCTCTCAAAGCAAGAAGTCTCTGGTGCTGGCTTGTGTTTTTGTAAAGGAGGAGGTTTATGCTCTTGGCTGTGGGAATGACAGCTTTCGTAGAGGAGAACAACTGGTTGCAGCAGAGCAATTTAACAGCAATACTTGCAGGACTGTTTTTCCTCAGCAATTTTCTCTACAGCTTTAACCCTGACACCCTCTATCCACGCAGGAGTCTGATGCCATTAAAATGGAATTATGAAGGATTATTCAGTAATATTTTGCTTTTAGAATCTCAGACAGGCATCATCAGTGCACAGGACAGACACTGAATGTAAAATCTGATTGGCAAGCTAATGGTTTGGCTCTTCAGACCTCCCAACACACATCAAAGCTCAGGTAACCTGTGCCCCTTATTTCAGCCACCTGAAGAGGTGAGGACTTCTGTATTTTTTTTTTGAAGGTTATTTTTGTTGTAACAGTTTTCCTTCAATTTATATTTGAAAGCAACAGATATTAAAAAATAGTGTTTGTTGTTAGCTTTTGGGTCTATGCTGTACCTATACTGGAAAAAAAATAGGATTAGGAGATGTAGAAAACATGTTACATAAAAATACACCCTTACCTTATTTTTTGGTGTTCCACATTGTTTCCACACAGAAACTGAGTGAGGAAAAAGCAGCCAAAAGCTCAAAGCAAGAGAACCTGCACTTGCAACAATTGGCTGCCTGCAGCTATTTATTAGTATGTTCATTTAGAACAAAAAAAATCCAACAAACCAAAAAGATTACTTTCTTTCCTTACACTAGCACAATAGCTCTCCAATGACCATTCACCACATAAAAACATAAAGAGATTTTGCCAACCAGATTTCTCCTTCCTAACGCTGTCCACGTCAATTATATCCTTTGAATTTAAGTGTCAATGTAACAAGTAAAAACACAGAAGTGTTAATTTTAAGTGTTCGATAGCACAGGAACAAAGAATTTATCCTTTGGTGCGCTTTGGCAGAGCCCAGCACTTGTTCAAGCAGACACAGTTCTCACAGATATCAGTGAACCAACATACAAGCTCTTTAGAGAAAACTCAAACACCTTTTTTTCCTGATTATTTAAGGTATGTGCTGAAAAATACTGAGCAGCAGTAGGATTATCCTGGGACAACTTTCCCAGCCAGGGTTTAAATGGAGATGTGAGTGACTGCTAACTCATCTGTAATGTCCTATTTGTATTCCCATCCTTTGTCATCTTGCAGGGGAAGTGAAGTCTGCCGGGAGAAGAGACTGCAGGACACACTGGGAGTGATAATCAACATGAAGCAGGGAAATGCACAGGGGGTGACTGGAGAAGGAGCATGCTGTGTGGTGTTAATTGTCCCACTAACAACTGCCCCATCCAAGCAAAGGTGGATGAATGAAGGACAGACAGGCAGGAAGGGCTGAGAAGACACACAGCACTTACCTAGCATCGCCTCCCCTCCTGTCTTTAATGCCTGAGTGGTGCCTGCAACAGTTCGGGGAGAATCCAAGTGTCCTTCGTTATCCAGAATGTCTGATGTCTCCCCATTGGTGGCTACATCAGAGTCTGGGATTATTCCATGTTTCTGTGGGAAGCAAAAGCAATGCTTTAGAGCCTGCTGATTGGAAAGGGAAGGATTGTCAAGTGCTCTTGTCCAAGATACTCTGAATAAACAATTGCTTCAATCATTCCATTAAACATGGCTGGGAGTCAGGAAGGAGAACAGATACTGCAGTTCTCAGTTCAGCCATTCTCAGAAAAGTGTCTCCTACAAAAACAACTTCCTTATACTCCAGTCTACACTAAGAACTCTCAATCAATAGTAGGGGAAAGGACTTTATCTAGAAAATCCCTGAAATGGCAATTTATAGGCAACATGAAAATTGAGTTACTGCTACTGAGCTAGACTTAATTTTTCTGCCCAAATGTACAGGGGAAAAGGGTCAGCAGATGAATACAAATTTCTTTTATTCCTCTTGCATACCTTCAGTTGCTCCTTCAGCACAACCACTTCGTCTCTAAGGTCATCCCGCTCACTCCTTATGGAATCAAAGAAATCTTTCTGCCTCTCTAGTGCCTGAGTTCCCGACACAGACAGAGGGCGAGGAGATGTGAAGAAAGGAAGGGAGACAAGTAAAGGCCATGAAAAGCAAATGTAGACAAGAGAGCAGATTTAAGATACTCAGGGGATGGAAGGGGCACAGATGAAAAAGGTCGAGTTTACAGATTAAAGGACTGAGTTTGCATACAGAGAGAGACTTCAAATCCAAGAAAGGCACAGCTTCTTCAATAACCAACAATTCTTGCCAAAGACATTCAGAGCCCAATTCTTTCCAAGGGATCCTTCAAATGAGGGTCCACTTTTTATTCTTATCTGCTGGGCAAGCTAATCCATACCCATTGTGCTTTAGCATGCACACTGAAGACATCAGGCCATTCCCACATGTTAATGGAAGGGCGTGGAAATGGACCTGCTGGATTTCAGGAGTCTCTTTATTTTACATTTTAATTAATTTGAAAGCTGCCATTAAGTCATCCTTAGTCTGGGATGCACCATGTGCAAATGCATATTTTGCTACTGAACTCCCCACTCCCAGTATTTCTATAGAAGTACAAATAGAACAATTAAAAAAAAATCAGACAATTTTTGGTTTCAAGCTGCTACAAATTTTTGGACATCACAAACATGGGCAAGCTGCCAGATTTCTTTCTCCTACTCTCTTCAGGAAGCCTTTCACTGTTCAGCTGGAAAAGAAAACCAGAGTGGGTTTGATAAGAGGTGGTGGGAAGGGATGAGAAGCAAGGGAGACTTTCATCCCAATAGCCTATAAATAGCTCCATTACCTCTTTATCCCACTCCAGTTTCTGCTCAGTCTGCAGACTAAATCTGAATAAGCGAAAACTCAGTGCTGATGGAATTGCATTATAAATAGCACTTCCTTTCCCCATATGGCAAATGCAAATGGTGCAGCACAGCAAATCAATTACCCTTGGCTTGAAAGCAGACCAGCTGCCAGGTTTTCCTTGGATTTTAAGGTACTGGCCAAAGACAACACTTGCTATTTTCTACTTCACTGGGAACATCATAGGACAGCCACACCAAGCAAAGGCACTATGGAGGGTTTTATCCATGGGGTTTTACAAAAGCAGGATCAGGTGGAGAATGACAGTGTCACTTTGAACACATTGCAGGAGTTGACAAGTCCTACCCCTATTTTTTTGTCTTTCCACTCTATTGTCTCCTGAAGATCGGAAATTTCCCTGACATAGCTCTGCTGTTTCTGTTGCAGCTGTTGGATTTCCTGAGGGGCAGGAGCAAAACAAGAAGACAGAAGGCAGGTAAGAGGTTAACAAGGAAGGCAAGATGGCAGTGATGCCAAAGAATGAAAAAAGTCAGGTGCTGAAGTACAGGAGTATCTACAATACAATGTGTTAATCTACAGTTTCTGACATCCCAACTGGACCTGTGCTCCTGAAGACAATCTTATTATCCACAACATGACTTAAAATAAGTTTCACAGTTCTTTTATTTTCCATTGCATCCACAAACAGTTGTCCAAAATGCAATACTTAGGAAGAATAAGATAATACTTAGGATAGTACTATTTGCATTAGTCAGCTCTGAACCTGTTTGGCCTTTAACATTTCTTCTGGTGAGAAACTTGAATAGGAAATAAAAATCTCCATGCCTCATATTCTCCACTCTACTTCTACTTGGTTATGTACCAATCAAAGAAGTCATTAAAGGAAAAAAAAAATATAAATTACTTACTGCAAGCATTTCTTCTCTCTGCTTCAAAGCCTCTTTGATTTCCATGAACTGAAACTGCAATATGCTGTGAGCATGCTTCTCCCTCTCAAATTCCTGTGAATAATGAAATATTCACAAGATTATTATTAATCAAAAATAGCATCCCATCAAAAAGAGGAAAATAATCCCAAACACAAAGAAAATGCTTACTGCAATGTAGTTCTTGAATATCCCTCTAATCACAATCCCACAAGAGTGCCATTTTTATAGAGTTTGTCCTTTTTCCAAGATGCTATTATTGCACCAAATATAGAAGTGACAGACATCATTTAGCCCATTTCATAAGCTGAGCAGCAGGCTGAAGAGCTTTCACACTCCAGTCCTTCAGACTGCATGGAGGAATGGATGGGAATTTAACCCACTCTTCCCACATGGCCATGTACTGAAAGGTAGCTAGACTTTTTAAATAAAAAGAAAAAACCACACAGTTTCTTTCATGAGCTGTGTTTTGGAGTGGGGTGTAGTCAAGTGCCCCAAGCTACAACAAAGCAGTTCTGAAAATGTAAGCCTCAGTTTTATTATTTAACACCAAATCACTGTCAGATGCTGAACTGATGTAAAAATTCAGCATTTAACCATGGAGCTGCCTGAACTGCACAACTCTCCCACAGGGTGCCTGGAGACACCTTTGTGTGTAAAACTGCTCCAGAAGTCCCTACAGACAAACCCTATGAATTTAGAGATGAAATATGAAAGGAGATGGGATAATATCAATATAGCCTTTACCAGCTAGAACATTTCTCACCTTCTTCAGAAGTGGCTTAAGGAAAATTCTCATTTGTATGATCACAAGTACACAACAAATTGGTATTTCATTTAATACTAATTAAACCAGCAATTTGTTCAATATCTTCAATAATAATTTAGCTGCTTCCTCCCAAAGATCTCTACCCCCCATCCAAATCTCTCCCTGTTATTTCCCATGGCAGAGCTATTTACATACTTTACTTTTCTCTTCATATTGCCTCCTGGATTCTGCCAGCTGCTCCTCCAACTCTAAGAGCGCATCCTTCAGGGTGTCCACTTGGTACATGAAATTGGTTTTCTCATTGTCCAGCTGAGCATTTGACACCATAGCCTTCTTGTATTTCTCCTCAACTTCAGCTAGAGAGTCCTGCAGAGAATAAGCAACTCCAGTCAGAGTCAGAAATAAAGGAGGACATTTTGCCAACCAAGACCTTCAGTAAGAAAATAAAGCACAAGCTCACTGAGCTTGCCTGTGGAAAGCAGCATAAATCCTGTGCTGGAGGCTTCCCAGCTGTCCCAAGGTGAGGAAAACCTCCCCTGTCCCTGCCACACTCATGCTACCACACAAGCAGCCTTACCTCAGCACGGATAAAATGCTTCCTGTCCTCTGCTGCTTCAGCTTCTGCCTTCCCAGTTTTCCTCCTTCTCCCTCCTCCCCCTGCCCCTGCACATTGCCAGCTCAAAGCAGCTGCTGAAGATGACAAGTTGGGATTTTTTTTTTTTTAAAGGTAAATTGGCCTTGATTTAAGATCACTTTGGATGATCTGGGACCTGAAATTGGAGGCAGTTTGACAGCCACTTCACACTAATTTCAGAGATCCTTGCAGTGTGGGAACCCTTAAATACTGACTCAGGAATTAGAATTCACCCTGAAAGAGAAAGCTGCAGCTTTTGTGACCTGGTGTGTGATTTCCCATTAGGTTTCCAAAATCACATCCCTTCTTTACAAATTTGCTCTCTAAAATACAATTCCCAGTATCTTGAAAACCCCTTCTGTCTGCTTGACCTGAATATAAGATACTGAGATATTTGTAATAACAAATGATGGTAAAATAAAGATTAGCATTAATTTCTCATTATTGCAGACAAACTTTGCACTACTTGATTTTAATAAAGAAATAAAAGAGTTATATAAACAAAGCAGTGTAAATGTGCAAACAAGGAGGACACACATGTAAACATTTTAGTTTACTGATCAAACAATTTCTCTTGGAACTTGTGTCATTTTAATTATTTCAACTGAAGTACGGGTGAGTTTCATATACTTCCTTTTTCAGCTGTTAATAGAACAAAAGATGATAGTGGCAAAGTCTAAATCAGTTTAATTGACATTTCTATTAACAAATGAGATAATTTGTCTTTTAGGACATGAATTTCTCCAGTTCCAAATGCTTAACTGTGTTTTGGGGCACTTTCCAGCTCCAGATGAGAAATACCAAGCACAGGAAAGCCACCAGGATTTGGAAAGCTCAGAAAGGAGCTGGAAAGGAAGTATATGCAAGGAAGAAGTTAAGGAAATTCTGCTCCACTCCTTCAGCATGCCACATTTTGGTTTCTTAGCATCAAACAGTGCAGCTTAAATCCAAATCAGCCCAAAAGGCAGTCTAAGGGACATGGATTGAAAAATTTTTTATGCAGTGTGATTATTTTGCTCTATCTGCTACTCAGTGACCAGGAAAAAACCCAAAATTTTACCAAAAAAAAGAGCTTAACTACTCTGTTTCCATTGAAAACTCAATTAAGATGGCAACACCTTCATTTATTGGTGCTGAGCTGATGACACAATCAGCAATTAGTGCTGGCAAATGTTGAATTTATCTATTTGCCTTTTCCAAAAGGCCATAGCTCATGTCACTGCTCACTTAGGAGGTGGGTGGTACATGGATGTACAAGGTGGTTGTTGCACCAAAATGAATTTATGGCTTTGTGGAAGCAGTAAGAGCTTCAGCATTCCTTCTTCATGTAACAGCCTTTGATACATGGAGTTTTGTTGCAAGTATTTTTTAAGGGTGTCTTCTGTCATCTAAACATGAAACCAAAATGAAACATGAAATCTCACATGGCCTTATAAAAATAAAAACATACAAGGTTCTAAACCCATATTTGTTTTTAGTACTGTAGGAGACTCGTTCATCTCCCAATACTGGAAGGTTTCGTGGATTAGGAAACAATATAAAAAAAACCCACAAATGACCTCAAACCAGCAAAGACAAGGTGCAGTAGCAACCAGCAGCCTTTCAGTGAACACTTGGAAGCATTTCTCACTGCAACCCACCCAGTCAGAACAGTTTGCCAGTCAGTGAGACACCCTGCAGGCAGTTCCCAGCCTCTCCAGGAGAACAGCATGCAAGGGCAGCTCTGGGGCTCACACTGGGTTAATGCTCACACACCAGTACCTTCAGTTCTTTCAGCCCCTGCATGTATTTGCCTTCTACATCCTGAATCTGGTCCTTTAACTCATAGATGTCCTGAGGGAGATGGTGAGACAGGTCAGTGATGCCACGGACACCAACGGGCAGAATGCAGCTGGGAGGGGACAGGCAATGCTCCAAGAGCTCCTTCCAACACCTCCCCCACACACATTAAGGGCTCTGAGCCTTAGCTGAGGCCTTGCCAGACAACCAGATTTCTTGGCCAGCAATTTGTGTTAATTCTGCTTTTCCTGGCTGGAAAAAAATGGAATCTTCATCGCTAAGGACGAGGCACAGACCCAGGTTCAAAGGCTCCAACAATCCCAGCCCTTCTCTGTCCATTCCACTGATGATCACCTTCTGTCCCAGGCTCTCTGCTCTGCTCTCCAGTGTGTTATCCCCACCCTCCTATCATTCCCTATTTCAGGATGGGAGCTGCCTTTTAAAGCCAATCCCATCTGCGAGACATCTCCAGCAAAGCTTTTCCTTCACAGCACTGCCACAGCTGCCAGCTCCTTCCTGGGAAAGGAGCCTGAAGGATATTCCGTAATTTATTCTGGGTTTAAGTATTCCCCACCTTGATTTCTCTGATGGATGCCTCTGTGTCAGCTGAGATGGATGTGTCCCCACTGCCTCTCCGTGAAGAAGTCCCGCCCAGAGAAGCCAAGGTAGCTGCTGATAAACTTGAGACAGTTCGTGCTCCCTACAATCACACACAAATAAACTGCTTAGAACTTTCTTTTCCAGATAATTTATGGGTTTGTAGCTTTGCCCTTTTCATTTTTTTTTTAATAGACACATGATACCAATCCTTGCACTTCTAAATTATGCACTTTCAATAAAATCAAACTTTCTCAGAAGTAAAAAAAAAAAAGCCAAAATCAAGATTTAACAAGGGAAATTAATGAGAAAAAGCAGATCAGAAGTATTTAAATAATACTGCAATAGAAGTTTGCATAATTTAGCTTCGATAACTATTAATTCTTAATTGGAGAAAGGCTTTAGGGGCTAGTATCAGCCTGCCAGACATTTTCAAAACTTGTAATAATACATTCTGTGGAAGCTTTGGAAGCTTCTCTCCTTCATGCACATTTATTTACTCTGCAGCAGTGGCCACATGAACTGTTCAACTGTACTCAGGGTTAATGTATTAGCCTTCTCTTTTATTATGATGATTTATTTATTTTTACATAAATAATTTAGGTCTTATAACTAAGATCTAATAAACACAGAGTGTTTGTGTGGCTCGGCCTAAAGCAGTTTCAGCCAACTGCTGTTGAAGGTCAGCTACCTAACACTGAGTCAGCAGGGGCTGGAAAGTTCATCCTCAAAAATGCTCTAGCAGAAGAAGGCCTCAGAAATTCAAATTTTTGCCTCACAATGAATTTTATAGGAGATTTCTGTACACTCATGGCAAGTTCTAACCAGCAAAAAGAATGAATAAAGCACTATTGTCAGAATAATTGATAAGAACTTTCTTACCTTCTCAAAGTCTTTTTCTGGCCTTTCCTCAATCTGTAAAAGAGAGATTGAGAAGGAACCATTAATAGAATCAATAAAGGGTCAGAGAAAGCAGTAATATACCAGAAATGTCACCACATCCTCCTGGTCCCAAAAAGCAATGTACCAAGTTAGATTTGAAATCTGAAGCTTTGAACCTGTGGTTAATATTCCCCTCTCAAGACAAACAGGGACTACAAGCAAAGATCTCAGACTACAAATCTGACCTGCAAGTCAAATATCAGGGATCAGTCCAAAGTCTAACTAAATGGCTCTTTTAGGGTTTCAGTACTTCACTGCAATTTACTAGTTTACAAGAGAGATCCTGTACTAAAACTAGTCTAGAGGAAGTCAGTGAGAAAGCAGCATTTAAAAGGACAGAAAATTACCATGGATGCAGACAGCTGAAGGGTTTAAAAGTTACAGAACATCTCCATCTAAAATGGAGCTACATGTAAAAAGGACTGAATGAAATCAAAAACTCAGCAGAACTCAACAAAACCTGAATTCTTCTTGGAATATTCAGCACAGTCAAGATGGTTTCCCAAAAGACTCCTAGAAAATTAATGTCTTCCCCAGACCAAGAAGAGCCAAATGGCCAAAGGAAATAGTGTTTTTGAAACTACTGGAAAAACAATCAGGATAGACCTGATTCAGGGGAAGGCAGGACATAATTGAGGCTAAGTTGATAATTTCCATTAAGAACACACTCAAAAACTACATCTCTTTATAATCAGTAAGCATTTGGCACAGTTGTTCAGAGTTTTTTTTTCTTTTATTTTTTTTTTTCTTTTATTATATAGAACAATATGGGGATAATCTCACTCATTATTCTTCATATTACCCTATAAAAAAAAAATCTCAGACCTGTGAGGTTCCTGTTACAAATCAGCTTTTTACACTGATATCTCACAGCTAAAATTCCCCATGAATTAGCATTAAGAAAACTTAAGGCTTCAAAGTAAAACAAGCCAGACTTAAAAGCACTAGATTTAAACTTGCAAAAACACTGAATACATAAAATCTTTAGGGGAAAACACCTCAAATCTCTGAACTTGGAGGCAATAAGAGAGGGTCATTAATGAAGGCAGACAATTTAGCTCAGACCCAATGAACAAGATGGACTGAATTGTGCAAACAGCTTTTTATTTTCATGTCAGACAGCTCCAAGTGCTGGATTTGGCAGCCTTCTAGCCTGGCCAAACACTGTGTTGTTGTTAATCAAGACAGCTGTGGCAGTGTCAGTAATGGCATGTGACAAAAGATTTGTTTGTCCACACACATCTACCTCTGGAAATCTGTGCCTTTTTGCCTTTGCAAAATCTATCTTACAGGGCACAACTCAAAATATTTCTTTTCCTTCAGCCATTTGCACAATGGCCTCTATTTTCTGGAATGAAGTGCAATCTCAGTTTTTAGCAAAATAAAGAAGGGAGCAAATATTGGTATTGTTTTAATGATGCATCAGATGAGCCAAATAAAAAAGGGGAATGTTGAAGACAATGTGGTGAGAGAGATGACTACAGTGAGTGTTTCTACTCAGAGCATTCATAACCACACCTGTGAAGCCTGCTACACCTTTATTGCAAAACTATATATAATAACTCTGATGGGGCATAATCTCTAATAATGAAAGCTATTATGTAACATCTAAAATTGAGCTGTTTAAGAAAACAAACCAGATTTCATCTTCCCCAGTGATGTCCTTGCACACATCCACTTGGTGCCATGAATGCCACACTCACAGCAGTTTTTCCTCAAAACCAGTTTCTCCTCAAATCCTTAACGATTTAATTAAACATTAACACTTAAAAACTCAATCAGTTTCTAGAAAAGCCAGATCCTCATACCAAAATAACATCCTTACATTACACACAGATGCTTCCAGCTCCACAACACTTTTCTAAGCAAAAAGCCAGTCTGAAACAATCAGCATTTAATTTTATGGTTACATGGCAGTGATACACCAAAATCTGTCTTGTAGAAAGAGAGAAACCTATTTTAGATTAATATTTTATAGAGCTTTCATCGTGCTCATGTTTAGATGAATGTATTCACAGTATCCTTTAAAGAGATAAATTTTTCCTAAAGGAATCAGCCACCAGAGGGACCTCCAGGTTTCCAGTGTTCCCCCAGTTGCCTCCAAACCCTCTGGCAGTTGATTCAGTAATAAATGAATTTATTGATATTTATTTATATTGATATTTATTGCTATAGATATTTATGATAAAATTAATTTATTTATACAGAGAAAGGTCAGGAGAGAAATGTTTATCTTTACTTGAAGTTGTACAGAATTCTTGCCCAAAACACTTTCCTTCTGCATTAGTATTCAATCAAGAACACTGCAATTATTAAATAGGCTGAAAAGAACTTCTCCACCTTCACAAACACTCAGCACAGCCCTTCATAAAAAATATCCTGGTTTGGGGACTTTTCCACACACAAACAGAAAGGATTGACAGAATACTTGCCAGAAAAGGAGATTTAAAGAGGGATTCACCTAATGGCACCTTGAATTTATACAACACTTACATTACACATTTAATTTACAAAAAACTATCATTTTTCATTTGCACAAGGGTATGGGTCTGTCTCTAATCACAGATTATCTTCCTCTTCACCAACAACTGGGGCAATTTGTACTTTAGTGTGTAAAAAGCAGGAAAAGGAAGTCACTTTCTGAGGAACTCCAGCACGTACATCTTTGTTTTGGCTGCTCTGTGCAAAATAAGTTCAGTGGGATCAGAGTTCAGCCTCTTCTGACAGCAATTTTGGAATAAATCCAGAGCCACATTACAAAAATGTCAGCAATATCAGAGCTCACCACAGCTGGAAACATAACGTGAGCAAAATCACCCCACAAGCCTTTATATGGATAAAGTGTCCGTTTTGCACAGATTAAAAGGGTTAACCCTTTTAGGGTGAAGCTCTTTGCCACCAGTGGAGTGTCCAGGTCAAAATGAGTCCCTGCAGCACTGCCACAGGGCCTCCAACCAACCAAACACCTACTGCAAGTAAAGGATCTTCAAACCTACTAAAAGACCAGGATGGAGGCACAGTTTCCAGCTTCCAGGCTCCTGAATAAAGGCAGGGAAGGGAAACCTGGAACTCCTCTGTCTGTGCCATGTCCCATGGTATCACAACAGCCTCAGTGTTCACTATGTGGTTGTCACTGCTCAGCTCCAGCTCAGATCTTGCACTTAGCTCAACTTCCTCACGAAAGCAAGGGGGTTTTTTGGTGACAAATCAAATTAAGATCATTTCCTGCCCTTAAAGAAGCACAGCACAGCTTGAAGTGGAAATAAGGCCCACAGCAGAGAAAAATTGTTAGGCTAGAGCTTAACACAGCATGGTATCTAAAAAATCTGGAATTAAAAAGAAGAAAAGAGGTACAGCTCTGTCGTCTCAGCCAGTCCAATCCCTCCTACAACCCCCATCTTACCAGTTTGATCAGCTGGGCCGGGGCAGGCAGTAACAGAGTTCCTGCTGCTTCTCCAACGAGAGCCACCTTAACTCTAGCAATTAGCAACAAACCTTTCAAAGTCAGCAGGGGAAAACCACTGCTGAAATTTTTAAGGTCTGAAGAGGGTTTGTGAGAAGAATCCTCTCTCAGGAATGACTGCTATGCCAAACGTCACTGCCTAAACAAACTTATCAGTCCCAGAAATGCAAGTTAGTGCTGCAGCAAATCCTCACTCCAGAGGGGCCCAAAGCACATCCAGGCTGTCAGAGGCAGGGCTAGGATACAACCTACCATAAACCTGCAGATAGAGAGAAGGCAAAGCTTCATAAGTGCCTCCACCAAAATTAAGTCTGTCAGTGTCTTAATTTTATTTCTGGTGAGAACACGGCAAGCGTGTGCCAATGCTCAAAGGTGTTCACAACTGGGCACTGATGTACAACCTGGATGCATGGTCACACTGGGGAAATGAGGGGCTGGAGAGCAGCAGGGATCTGGAAGTCCTGGTCAATGGCCAGTTGGATCTGAGTCAGCAGAGCCCTGGAGCCAGGAGGAGCATCCCTGTCCTGGGGAACAGCCTGGCCAGGGAGGGGATTGTCCCTCTCTGCCCTGGGCTGGGGCTGCCTCACCTCCAGTGCTGGGGGCAGCTTTGAGTGCCACAATATAAAAATGGCATAAAGCTGTTAGAGTGTCCAAAGGAGGGACATGAAGGTGGAGAAGGGTCTGGAGGGGCAACAGGAAGAGCAGCTGAGGGTAATTGGTTTGTTCAGCTGGAGCAGAGGAGAGACTGAGGGCAGAGCTCATCATGGCCTGCATCTTCCTCTCCTGGGCCAGCTCCCATCTCTCCTCTCTGGGACAGGGACAGGACCCAGGAAATGGCTGGAGCTGTGTCAGGAGAGGGTCAGGCTGGATCTCAGGGAAAGGCTCTTCCCCCAGAGGGTGCTGGCACTGCCCAGGCTCCCCAGGGAATGGGCACAGCCCCAGGGCTGCCAGAGCTCCAGCAGCATTTGGACTGCCCAGGATGCCCAGAGTGGGATTGCTGGGGTATCTGTTGGGTTGGATTCAATAATCCCTGTGGATCCCTTCCAGCTCAGGATATTCTACAATTGTGTGTGCTCAGGCTGAACTCTGACTGCTTGTGTTGCTGCCTGAGCCTGCACCAGAAGGGAGAGAGCCAGGATGAAACACCACCATCTCAGCATAGCAAAACCTGCCCTCTCCTCTTGCTTTGCCTGCCTTGCCTGAGAGAGCCTTCAGTCAAACACTACTGCATCCTGTCTCAGATGGAGAAATAATTGCTTTTCACTAGTAGCTTCTTCCTTTAGAGAAGAAAAATAACAGAACTCCTGCAATTCATATTACAAGTCCAGCTGTGCCAAAACATGCTGAGCTCAGGCCCATCTGTACAAAAGTATCTGATGTTTGCTCTCAGCAGTCTTAAGATCTGTACTTTATGTGAGGATGGTTTAATATTAAACAACATATTTGCATATCTGCAGTAACTGCAAGGACAGCAGATAATTACCAGTGGGGATAACACGAAAAATTTTAAAGAAAAATAAACAAACAGCAAACTTCATTCAGATTCAGTGAATTCTTAAAATAACTACAAAGACAAATATTCACTCATTGTGTTTAAGTATCTTTCTGCCTTTGACTGTTATTACCAACATGGTAACACAAATGAGAACACGAGCTAACAAAGCTGTGCACAGCAGGAAAACCACTGCAGGAAAACTACTGCTGCTTTTTGCTCACTGTTCAGTGAACAGTGATAGAAGGGGGAAACAAAACTGATAACAACATTTCAGACCTGCAGTGACAAGCTGTTGTCTGCTTTAATTTAGAAAGTTCCATGGAATCATTCTCCACTCTCAAGCTCCCAACTGAAAATGCTACCAGAACACTTTGAAGCCTGTCAGTAAAAGTGATCCCTCACTCTGAGCTACAGGAAAAGCCTGTTTAAAATATCTGTTTAATACAGGAAAAAGTATTATAATCACAAGGTGCTGCTGGATTGACCCTGTGTAGCGATATGAACTTTCAGGATCACCTGGTCTCACTATGATGTTAACTCTCTGCTTTCCTTCAAGGTGACAGAGATAAGGGAAGCTCTTCACACTGGGCAATAAACCACTAATTAAAACAAAAAAAGATTGTTTTTTAAGGAGTAATTTAAGGAGTGCCTGCTGTCTCCTTGCAGAGCAGATTCAGCTGACACAGCAAACCATCTCCAGCCACTTGCACACCAAGAGGCCAAAGTGTAAGCAGGGAATTTAAAATCAGAAACCTCCCTTGCAGGAATGACTCAGTTGGCATACAGAAAACACCTAATGGAAACTGACTGCAGTGTGTGGGTACCCAGTTCTTATTACCCTTACAGAATTGTAATGGAATCCCCTTTTATTCTGATTAATTTTTGCTTTGGGGGTAATTGAAATTCAGTTTGCAAAGCCATTTAAGATGTATTAGCAATATAAGTTATATTCAGCAAGAACTCATAGCTTAGGGACTCAGGTTCAGGGGCTAATTAAAACACTGATTTATTTATAGCTCACCGGTTGCCATACATTATCTGATTAAAATCCCTCTGTTTTTAATAATTTAAAAAAGTGGATGCACCCTTGGAGCACCAAAACTTCAGAGCACACAGCTCTGCTGTATCAGTTTTCAAATGACAGACTACAAAACTTCAAATGGCAAATTAATGTTGTTATATTTTAGTTCACTGTAAACTTCATGTCTCCTCTACGAGACATCCTACTGCACTCAGCAGCTGTCCCCATGCTTGGAAATAAATCAGAAAGCTACCCAGAGCTGTTAATAGCCACAGAGAGAAAGCACAACATGCCATTAAAGAAATTAAAGACAGAAATCCCCTAAAAGCAGGGGAAGGACAGGCCTTTAGCACTTGGGTGTTGTTCAGCCACAGCTTGTGCTGGGTACTCCTTATCCTTCTAGCACTTCACCAAGCTAAAGACTGCAGTGCCTGGCACTCTACAGTCCCAAAAAGATGTTCAAACCTCTGGAGAGCCCTGCTACTTTGCACCAAAATAGTGCTCACTGGAGAGAAACTGAACTGGTTGAATGAGGGTTTCCTGCTCCCCAAAGGATTCACAGCACTTCCATCAACAGCCCAGTCTTTTCCACAGTACCCTTGCTGTGCTTTATTCTCCATTTAAAGCAAATATAGCATTGCCATGAGAGTCCAGAGTGTATTTTCTGTTGTAAGAACATGTATCTGCATAGAAATCACTCCAGTTTTGCAATTTCTCCTCTGGTTTCTTTGTCTTAAGCGCTGCCCAGAAGGTTCAATTTATCGCTTAAGAAACTGCCTGACGAGGAACAGCGACTTTTCTGTACAAAAAAGACCTTGAAGAAGAGAGGAACGAAACAACTGAAGGACAAAGAGAAATAGAGAAGCTCACCACTGGACTGGCCCGAGCAGAGCTGGCTCTGGAGGATGCCCGAGATCCTGAACCAAGGTAGCAGCTGTACTCGGAAGGCTGCAGCAGGAAAACCAGGAACAGCAGGCAGAGAAAAGAGAAAGGCATTAGAAGTGGGATAGGAAGCAGGAGGGGATGCACAGCATCACATCTGAAATTAGTTAAAGAGATGGTTACGTGCAGCTGGACAAAGGAACAGCAGTAAAAGTCAGAGAATTGTTAATTTGAAAATTAAGACAAGCAGTAAGTCCACTGGCAGTTCAAGCAGAGTTTTGATTCAATTCTTAGAATACAAATAATTTATTTATATCTCTTCAGGTACCAGTGACAAGTGAACAATTCAGTTTCTCTACAAAAGGCTCCATCCTACTACTTTCCAAGAGCTCTGAGGCTTTCTGGTGAATCACTTTCCCATGTTCCCAATGAACCAGTGCTCCACAGGCCAAAGGAAGAAACATCCATCTATGAGGAGATTAAAGTAAAAACTGAGCCCAGCTCAGAGACTGAGTCTCTCTCCTGGTTTTCCAGCACCCACAGTCCTCATCTCCTGCCAAAGAAGTCTTTTAGCTTTTTTTTAAAAGCAAACATCTAAACAGAGGTGCAGGACAGGGCTGGCTGGTTGCTGACAAGGACAAAATGTGTCTATGCTGTTTTATTTCCAAAGCTTTTAATGCATTGGAAATGGAGCAGGGAAATGAAAGTTTAAAGCATCAGAACTAGAACTTACTTTAGAAATAATGAGTTTATTTCAGAGGTGATTAGGACTGTTTCTCAGATACAAACAAACACACAGAAATCTGAAGAATTATCATACTTTGGAGATGCTAAGGGTTTTTTTAAGGTTTTTGTTATTAAGTCACTTGGCCACTACAGGAATTCTTGGACTCTTTAGCTTTACAGAGACAGACAGGCCTTCACCAAGCCAGTGCAGGGCTGCTCCATCTTCATTAGTCACAGTAACAAAGCAGCACAGCATCACCTGCAAATTAAGCTTGCAGCACTAATAAATGGTGAGAGGGTAAGCTGGAAATAACCCCAGCTAGAGCACAAGGACAGGGTCAGCCACTGACCACAAAACACTGAAGGTGCACAGCCTTCAGCGAGTCCATGGGCAGGGCAGTGTCCTCGGATGCTCCCAGAGGGAGGCCCTGGCACAGGGTGTCCAGAGGAGCTGTGGCTGCTCCATCCCTGGAATATTCAGTGTTGGACGGGGCTTGGAGCAACCTGGGATAGTGGAAGGTGACCCTGCCCAGGGCAGGGGGTGGGAACAAGGTGGCCTTTAATGTCCCTTCCAACCCCAACCATTCTGGGACTCTGTGTCTTACAGTGGCTTTGTGCACCTGATCTTCATTTCAGAGGTGAGAATATGTGTAGTATAAAACTCTGCTGCACACTGTTTACAGCTCTTGCCAATCATACCTTAATTCCTAAATTAAAGACAAAAAGCACTCAAGTAAAAATACAGATTTTTGTCTGGTCACTGCAGTGTTTTATGTTTAACAAAAGAAGGGTTTAGAATAAACTTGAAACACATGACAGGAAAAAAGTTTTACTACTTTTTTTTAACTACTGATGAGTCCCATATTAATGTTTTCAGGCCCTGTTTATTCCACAGTTGCTCCCTGTGCATTGCAGACCTGCCTATGGAAGTGAGTTACTGTGACCAAGCAAGGCTACTTTCAGCCCTGCATTCACCTGCTCTTCCAAAAACATCTTTTGGGAACAGCCAACCAAGGTGACACTCCCCTCTCCACGTTAAAAGTGCTGCAAGGTTCAGAGGCATTAAAACAACCACAGTTATTGTGACAAGGTCGCTGCCTCTGAGGCAAACCCCTCCTGTTCCAACTCTCTCATTACTACAGGCAGCAGGAACTGGAAAGGCTGGGTTACACACAAATACCTGTGGCTCAGGGTGGGATGAGGATGGAGGGAGGGGAAAGCATCAGTGTTTTTTTAGTCAGTGTTCCCTGCTCATGCCATTGATAGCCCATGAAAGGCGTGCAAACAGGTTTTGGGCTGATAGGTTTGCCGTGGATGATTTCTCACAGCAGTGGGATGGCAGGAGGATGGCACAGCCCTGGAAGTGCTTAGTAAGCATTCTTGAAAGTGTTTCCTCCTCCAAGCTAATAAAAATGTTTCAAGTTAATGTAACATCAGTGCTCCGGCTTGAGGCTTTTCACTCTTACAGCTTTAGATTGTGCCTATGTGTTTGTTGTGGTTTTTTTTGGTTGGTTGTGTTTTGCTACCATCAGTGAAGGGGATGAGAGGCAGAATAAGCAGTGAGCCCACAGAAGAGGACTTAAAAATCTAAAGAGATTGGCCTTTATTTTTCTTTCCCCCCCCAGGTGGACACAGCGGCAGCAGATGGACTGCCTGGCCCAAACACCCACAGAGGAGAAGAGGTGAAGGCATTTTCTGCCTTTTAATCTGTAAGCCGACCCCTGGAGTTTCTCTTTCTCGAAAGTAAACAATTTATATGGTTATTCCTTATATTGTTGCTCCCCATCCATGACAGAGACCTCCACTCTCAGGAACACACATTTTGGAAGTACTGTCACATATATGAATGCAAAATATATTTGAATATAAATGCAAGAAACAAAACCAAGCAAGCCATATATTCACAAATGTAATTTACTTCACACTGCTTATGTGGAACTGATTTTTAAATTTTTGACTGATTATTTTTTTAAACTTGTATTTTTCTGAGTTTTGACAAGAAGAATTAAGTCTCAGGGAGGGAAAGGACTTCATGTATGGCCTTCCCAAGGTGTTTTATCTGCAAACCAAGGCAGAACTGGATTCCCTGTCCCACCGAGGGGCGAGTTCTCATTGACCACTATTCGTTACTTCATGGAAGCTCATGGGAATGGTGTTCCCAATCCTGCTGCGTGCAGCAGCAGGCCCTGGATGTCACACAGCCCACGTGAAACATTCCTCAGGCCAGCAAAGGACGGACACAGAGCAGGGAAATGCAGAAAACCTCTTACAGCGCGGGAACTGGGGGCACTATAGCGCCGGCTCCCGCTGTAAACGCTCTCCTCGTACACAGACGCCTACAATTAAAAGACAGAGTCAGCACAGGAGTGGCAGCTGAAGCTGATTTGAATCACAAATTCACCGAGGACACGTGGCAGCGAGCAGGATGGGCAAGGACAGGGACATCTCCTGTGTGCAACCACAAGCAGCATGCAAGGGAAGGTCCAACGCGACCTGGGGAGCGCCACGGGAGACGTGCAGGATCTGACACATCCCGAGGCCATCACACCCCATGCATTTCTAACCCTTCTCCCAGGGCCTCAATTCAAGTTGAATTCAACACTTTGACTGCCTAGCCATGAAATGGCTACATCAATTCTTAAACTGTTCCCATCTGTTTCACCTTCATTGCTGGTGCTGGCAGTGACAGGGAAAACTCCCACCTGATAAGCTTCACTTACCAGCCAGTTTAGGAAATTAATAAAATAGGAGGAAAATGCGTATTTTAAGACTGTCTTCAGTTTAGCATAGAGATATATGGCTCAGGAAACACAAGGGGGGTAGGAAACTCTACCTTTAAGCTTCGGGGAAAAGTTCCAAGAAGCTCATTTTAAACAAGAAGGCAGGAATTTGTCTAAAAAAATTTGTGAACAGATTTTTGTGAGTTAAGCAAGCAGCAAGAATTGATGTTGCCTCTCTGTCCTGCTCCTGAAAACACACCAAGGAAGACAACTCTCTCCACATAGACACAACACCCGTGGCAGCATCACAACCCCGTGAGCACAGTCCCAACAGGAATTAAAGGAAGGATCAGCAACCCCAGGTCTGCACAAACAGCATCACACACACGTGGCATTCAGATGGGTGGGACACCAGGGTGTGAGACAAATGCACCCCAACAGGAATTACAGACAGAGGCAGGAGACAACATGTGCATGGCTGGGGGTGAGTGGCTCTGGTGTTGGTGTGTCTGGTGATGTTCAGAGCATCAGCACAACAAACCCTGTAACTCCTGGCTGGCAGGGCATCGCTGTACAGCAGGGAGGGCTGAAGGAGACAAGCACAACACTTTTTGGTTTGGCAGAGTAAATTAAACAAAAACAACAAAAAAAAAGGCACCTACAGCAGAATTAACCCTCTTGGTGAGAGATTAGGATCACTACATGACAACAGAAGGAAAGCCAGTACAGAAAATATTAGTCATCTGCACCATGAAAGCATTAGATCTCAGCTCCCAAAGACCAAGAATACCAAGCAGACACGTGCATTTCCTACAGGAAGGGAGGGCAGGACAGTACGCAAAAGCAAAACAGCATAATTTAATTTTAGGTTGTTAAGCTGTTATTGTCTCCCACACATTTGTGTACAGGAGCCAGAAAAGGGGTTTCTCCTCACTCCAACCAAAGCCAGAAAAAGAGCTGCACAGAAGTGCTTCAACATACACACAGCTGTAAGATCATCTCCTGTGTGCTTTATTATTCACAAATGCAGAGAAAACCCTACTAATTCAGGAAAAAATTCCAAGCACTTCAGTCAGAGCAGCCTGAAACAAGTGTTAGTAACCATCCCCGCCAAGATGCAGCAGTTAAACAACACAGCACTCGCTGTGTCTGGCAGAACTGGGTGCAAGAGAGACTCCAGCAGTGATCCCCAGCCCAGGGCTCGAGGCCAGGTCCTGCTGCCAGTGCCCCATCCATACCCCTGTGCTGTGCCCCCAGGCAGGACCTGGAGCACTGCTGGAGCTCTGCTGGCACTGGGCTGGCTGAGCTCTGCCACACACAGGGGACAATCCAACCTCCCGGGGGTTTTACAGCTTCCCTGATGTTCTTCCAGCACTCTGGGAATTGCCTCTCTGTAATTTCATCTTGTGCAGACTGGATCGTCTCAAGCTCACCAGACTGACACGCTATGCAGAGGAGCTGCCTCAAGTAAAGAACTTCAGGTAATTAAGATTTCCCTTATCTTTGCAGACCAATTGAGGCCAATGGCAGACAAGGAAAGGGAGGAGCAGCAAAGGAAAACTGACTGTGCTCATTTGAAAACAGTTTTCCATTACTCATTCCAATCTTAAAAGGTCTGATTTGTTTGGGGCTTTTTAAAGTTTCACTAAAAAAGAGCTACAATTGGTCCAAACTGATTCCTAAGTACAAGAGGTTGTATTATCCAAACAAAGTCCAGGCCAGGTGAAGCCAGAGGGCAACAGACCCAATTTCCATTTTGGGAAGAAAGTTGAGATGTGGAAGCATAGCTGCTGTTGGGGAGACCCAGGTCAGAGTAGTACGAAGCCTGCATTAAAACAAACAAAGCAGAAAAAAAAAAACTCCTTGAGAACTCAGCTTCCTTCTTTTATTCCTTTAAAGGGAAGCAAAAAGTAAATTAGATGATTACAAACTGCAAAGCAGTCTAAGTGGTCACAGATGCAAAAAGAAGAGAGAACTGCATTACAGCTTTGAGGATGTGTGAAAATTATGTGACCAGAGAGCTGGTCAGCTTTCTCCTGTGAGCCTGAGGAGTTTATGTCCTGTAAGCTGAACCCTCAGGAGAAGGTGAGATCCTGGGAAATGGAGAGCAAAGCCAGGGACCAAAGCTGCTGGCTGTGCCCAGCAGGAAATGTGAGCTGTCAGATATAGCAAGACTGAGTGGGGAGAAAACTCTAAGAAGTGAGACTGTGTACATTAAACATCTTCTTTAAATGAAGCACCTTCTTTCCCTGCTTTCTGCCTTGCATCCAGTCACAACTGCACTTTTAGTCCACTCGGGGGATCTTAATGAGGAATGGTTGTTCTGAAAGATCTCACACCTTCACCTCCTTTGATACTCTCCAGAGCTCTCCTTTTACACCTGTTCCCTGACACCTTTCCTCTCCAAACATTTCCTCTCCAACCATTTCTCATGGGGGTCTAGACAGCCAAGGCTCTCTGCTTTCAGCAGTCAGCTTCTCACAAACCCTAACTCATCCTTGCCTCACCGCTGTGGTCCGTGGAGGCGTTGATTTCCTCACAAAGGAGGGGGATCTGTGGCAAATTAAAGAAATTAGTTTGCTTTCTTCTGTCACCATGAGCGAACACACCTTTAGATCTGACACAACACCCACAGGGACAGGCTGAGGGCAAATCATTGACCAACCTCGAGAAAAACCTAACCCAAAGAAACAACCAACCACAAACCAAACCCCCCCAAACAACACCTGTAAAATAAGACTTTTACTGAAAGGAAACCTGAACTGAACTTCTTAAAAGTTACTTTCATTCCTGCTTAGAGTCTGCAATCTGCACGTGGACTATTTAAGCACATGGCATTAATCATATTTAAGGGATCAACCTGTGACACTGCAAGTTCAGTGTCCACATGGAGATCAGTACATTTTGTGACTTAAAACTGGACACTTATTGTAGAAAAAGCCATTGCCAGCAGGTTCATTCATCATTTCCCTGCTGTCCTGAAGAAATTTCCTCTTTTTCATTTTTCCTTGTCACTTCAACAATCTTTCTGATTCAGCTTGGGCATTTTGGACAGAATACTCCTAAAAAGTGAACACCAGCCAGGCTGGCATCAATTTGGTTTGAAGTTTCAACTGTTCTGAGTTATCCCCAAACTCTCCTCCCCATCCTAATTAATAATTAATCCAAACAGCAATGGAACTACAAGGAACTAACGATGTTGCTGTAATTAAGCCTTACTCAGACTAAACCCCCATGCTGCAAATGCTAATTCCAGCATGATTTTAAATTATTTAAATGGAAACCAAACAACCTCTTCTCCCTGGATGACTTTCTTGCAGATATTTTGCTCTCCCTGTGGTCCTCAGAGCACTGGAGCATGTCAGTGAAGAGTAAGAACATCATTTACCATCAGTGCTACAGAATAAAGCTCCTTGAACTCCTCAAATGGGCCAGCAAGGATGTCAGCAACAGGACAGGCTGTTTTCTTAGCAGCTCAAGCAACAGTATTTCATTTTCTCTTATCCGTGTAATGCCAGCTAAATTATAAAGCAGCAACAATTTTAAATGGACGTGAAATATCAGGTCCCGTTTCACTGTTTATCCTGCTTAACTTCATGCCTACAAAGTAACCCCTGAACTCTCTCTATGTTCAGTGTGTTATTGCTCAAACACTTGGCTAAATGGAGGCTTAAAAGGAGTTTATTTTTGGCCTAAACACTGAGCTTTAGGCTGCATACCACTAAATTTCTTTAGAAGCCTTGATAGCACAAAGATCAACAGGCTCTGAACTTTTGTCTGGCTTTGTTAAAATAAAAGAAAAAAACCCCAAACAGTTCCCCCTCTGCCCCCAGGCTGTGCTTGGACAACCCCTTGAAATCATTTGCACAATCCCCAGTATTTAACAAAGCAGGGCCAGGAGTTGCTATAATTGACACACAACACTTGCTGTGCTGGAACAGGAGGGAACACTGTGACCTGCATCCTCACAATGGAGTTAATAATTAAGCTTTTCTGGACTAGAAATAAAAGGTCGTCAATGTTAAGTAGTTAAGTGGGAACACTTGCACTGGCTCTTCAGCTCTGTAGGCGTTTCCAGCAACCCTAGCATATGGTTTATAAAGGAAAAAAAAAACAAACCAAAAAACCAAAGGTGTTTAGTTAAGCAAACTTCAAATAAGCAACGTGCATTTGGAGGAAATTCAATTTAATTCATCTTAACGATGCAAATCTCAAGGCATGGACTAAATTAGGAGATTCAGTACTAGAGCAGGCATGAACACCTTGCAGAGGCTGAAAAGCTCTCATTCTGTTTCCAGCAGCTGGGAATCCTCCCTGCTAGTGCTGTCACAATGTAATTTTTACCCAGTTTTGTTTACAAGTTCAAGCAGTTCTGGCTTCCAAGATCTTTCTGTATGAATTTCTGAGACTCCTCACTCACAGCCTGATTTTTGATATTTTTTTTATTTCCCAGACAGTTTCTTGATGCACCTCCAGTGTCTGACAAACTCCAAACCCCACAACATGCAAGACAGGAAAAACCTGCTTCACCACCCAAAAGAATTTGCTAATTAGCTTTAATCCCATTAAAATGGAGTAATAGAATTTTACAGCAATAGAAATCATCTACTAACCCTGCTAGATTTTCTACTCTGGGATGATCCATACACGTCTTCCTCATAACCATTGGTCTGTTATGGAAGGAAAGGAAAAAAAAAAAGGGAAAGAAAAAAAAGGAGAGAAGAAAAATTGACGTAGACCCTCAAAGGGAATTTTTAAGCAAATGTCATCACTTATGAAAAGCAAAGGCAGAGACAGAACTTTTCAAAGATACACCAGGAACAGGAGCAGTGCAGGATTAGGTCATGATCTCAAACACGAGGACACGAACATTTGTGTCACTACCTCTAGAACAGCCAAAAATGTCAAGGATATTCCTGCTTGCCCTTTTTTGATCCCCCACCCCCCTTTTCTTTTTATGGCCTCCCCTATTATTACTGGTCTATATTCAAACACTCTGTGAAGGGAAATAGGGGACAAAATGGGCACAAAAAGGAGATCAGAAAGTGCAATAAAGGGCATATCTCACTATAGCTATTTACACCTCAGGCAGCTAAGCACCTAAAAACCAGCAAACTGCAGTAGAAGAATTAATTCTATTTGAGAAACCCAGCTTAGTGAACATGCAGTGCTGTATAAATTATCTTCTTTTTGATTCTGAGCATCAAAATTAAACCCAGACAGTGTCCATCTGCCACAGCCCAGGATTCTGCAGCAGTCTGAGAGCTGCTAAGAGATTTGGGTGGGCTCAGCTGTCCTCCCTGGTGTCAGGAAGATGTTTTCCCTCAAGGGAGGAAAAACAAACAGGCCCAGAAGGACTGTTCCATAAACAAGGTGAGGTGCTTCAAATCCCTGTGGCAGCAGTGCTGGGAATAAAACAAAACAATTACAGTGACTCAGTCCTGAGTCTGGGAATGCGGTGGTGAAGAAGAGAGGACAGGCCCGAAAGTCTCCTCTATCAATAGCATTAAAAGCTCAGGTTTCCCCAGCAATTCACTGCTCTGGTATCACCTCACAACAAGCCCTGGTTTAACACTGAAAACAAGGAAGCACTCTGTGTATTTGGGGTGGGGGTTTAGTGGAAAGTTAATTAGAATTTCTTTTAAAATTAAGTTTTGAAGTCCATGTTTTAATGCGTCCCCAAAATGAAAATCCACTAGAACCAATCTGAATCAATTTCCAAGAGAAATATTTATCATCACTTTACAGCAGCTTCCATAAAAAATTAAACAAATTAACTCAGAAACCAGTTGAGAGCCACGCTGGGAACGCTACTTCTGGGAAAAGCTTAGATTCTCTATTGAAATGCAATATTATCAGCCAAATGGAAGGCAAACATCCAAGTTTCTTTTATTCAAGAACTGATTTGCAATACTGCTGTATAGCCTTCTCACACAGCTTGGCTTCTTTCCAGCTTTTACCAGGGTTTGTTTTTTGGTGTTTTTTTTTCCAGGCTCCTTGAATTTCTCAAACACTTCCCTGAAGAATGGTTAAAATGGATTTCCAGCAGCTGAAGGCAATGCTGCATCTCAGCCTCAGTGCAGACCAATTACCTCCACCACCCCTTTTATTGCCACACTGAGGACTTGTTTGCCTTTTTCAAGGGTGTAATATTGATTAAATGCAACCTCTGATCACTATCTGAACCATCCTATTACTTTGTAATAGTACCTTCATTTTTCCCAGATGTGGTATTCCTCATTTGTTTTTACTGTTATTCTGTTTTGACAAGTTGTCTCCTGTTTACCATCATCATTTTCACTCTAACCTTGTATGAAACTGCCTTCACTCCCTGCACTTAGCCAGCCAGGCAATACAGACTCCTGGGGAACTGCTTTCCCCTCCTTAAAAAACCCAGATGATGCTGTCTTAGATGGGAACAGACCAGCTGAGATCCTTCCCAGCTGCCTTGTTTTCTAACAAAGTTATTTTCTAACTGTACATTCCTTTTACAAGAACGAGATCTGGCCCAAGGTTTCACTAAATGTCACGTAGAGACATGCCAAAAGCCTTACAGTCAATTTACAGTAACATCCTTTATGCCCTTAAATAATTACCTTAAACAATTCTTGCTAAGGAACTCCAGTTGAGTTGGCATGATGAATTTTTACACAAGGCCAGGTTAATTTGTTATCACTTTACAGTTCAGTCCCTTCTAAAGGAATCTGCCTCTTTTGCCCTGTGTCTTTCAGATTTCAGCCTGAAGCCCCAGAGCTGAGGCTGTTTCCCCTGCCCCTCTGACCCATCCTCTCTAGAAACCTCTCCAGTACATATTTTTGAAGGCAAATGCTCCAGGCAGCTCTTGGAGAGCAGGGTCAGTTTTATCTGACCTTCGTTTTAGGCCACATTTACATGCAAAGCATCTGACCCCTCACAAAATCTGGAACAAATAAAACTGCACACTAGGGAGGCTGAAATGACTCAATTTTACTTGTTCTCCCTTCAGTGACCCTATTTCTCTCTGTGTTTTCTTCTTCCTTTTGACAAAGGAAACCATTCCGCTGTCATTGTGTCCATTTCTGCTTGTAATGTTTCTTACCTCCGGCTGTGGCTCGTGCTTTCTCTATCCCACATCCAACTTCCAGCCCCCAGAAAAATTCTCTGCTTGTTTCCAGTCTAGCAAAGAACCTCAAGCCAGACTCCACTTGTGATGAAGAGCCTTTCTTCCACAGAAATACTCCCAATTCACCCTCTCTTGTGTCCTCTTTGCCTGCCTGGAATTGCTCCCTGTAAGATTCACCTCTGGCAGGGGGGTGGAATGAAATGGGCTTTAAGGGCCCTTCTTAATCCAAACCATTTGGGATTCTGTGATATTCTCTCAATATTACCTATTTCTTACAGCTCCAGTAAGGTTTTGAGTTTTTCCACAAGCTCTTTATGTGAAGCATTGAATTAAGAGTTTGGATTATCCCACATTTGGGGGACAAACTGATGCTCATAATTATGCTCATTATCAGCAAGTGCTGATAGTTTTGGCGTATCCTTGACATTGGGCTGGCAGCTCTCACACTTGCACACACTCCTTGTCCTGTCACGGTGGCTTTGTAGGCAGAACCCTCTCTGAGACAGATAAAAATACATACTGCTTTGGAGTAGTTCTTCTTTTTGGTCCTCTCACTCTCTAATCCAGCCTGCAGTGGGATTAAGAATGTGGGGTGAGAAGATCAGTGAGTCTGTGCACACCCATCCTGAGGCAGGCATGCACATCCCCATGCAGGAACATGAGCAGAGCACGGCTCAGTGAGCGCCCAGCAGCGAATCCACCCTCGGAGTCAAACGCCCAGTTATTAGGGAATATTGTTAAAATGATGATAGCGCTGTCAAATTTAGCAGCCACGGCTCCAATCAGTCACGCTGGCTGGCTTCAGTCAATTAACAGAGCTACCAGCTGTCCATCCTGACTGTATCAATACAGCCATGCAAAACCCAAATGTGTTTGAACTATTCTGGGATGTAGGTCACGCACAAATAGATGCATTCCTAATGGGAAATAGCGCAGGGGATGAAGGAGAGGCGAAAAGAGGGAGAATCTATGGAATTGCGCTCCCCAGTTTCCTTCCTGCAGACACCAGGACACCTCCAGTTAACACGAGGCAGCAGGAAATGTTTTAAATTGAGCTTTAAATCCTCATTGCTCCTTTCTGTTCTTTCAGGAGCCAGCTTTCTCTCAGTGTTTGTGAGAGGAAATACTCGCTATCGAAGCATAATTATTAATCTGATTTTGTCCTCTAGAGTGAAGGGAACACAAACTGCAGCTTTGGTAGGCAATGTGTTTGTCCTGCCACCTTTGCTAGATCTATTTACAGTGAGTTTATGAGATCTTTATTCCTTTCCAGATCTGTGCTGAAATAAATCCAGATGCATCTGGTCCAACAATGGACAGGCTTTAACAGAGACAGTTTTTAGGGGAAATCCAAGCCATTCTGCTCTACCTGTGGTAACTACTGGGCTAAACCTAGTTCAGATCTCTCTAATCATTTGTCACTTCTCATCTGAATTGTGCAGAGCAGGAGAGGGAAGTGGCACCCTGACATCACAGACCACAAACTGCCTCAGGATCTTTCCAGATCACACTGATCTCAGAGCAGTTATCAGAACCTGTGTTAGCTTCTTCTTCATGATTAGTTTTTGAACACACACACACACACACTGCAAATTGCAGACTATTCTCACCACTGGGTAGGTGCTGGCATATTCCAAATGAGACTGTAAAGGCATGAGAGGAGAGGAAAATCAGAACAAAAAGGAAAACACAAGTTATGTCAATCAAAGGAACTCCCCCAAAACAAAACAAACAAACACAAAAATAGGCAGGGAGATGTGAATCCCAACTAAAGAACTTCGATAATGCAAGGTTTCTTGAACAAAGGGACAAGTTTGGAAGTTGGGAGGATACAAACAAACAAAGGATGCACAAATTAATCAGGAGTGATTGATAACACAATATTTCATGCTGATGGTGTTGGATTAGAGGCAGCCAGCTGGGAAATTGTCCTGGAGAACCAGGACAAATGAAATAGAAATAGAAACAGGATGATGTTACTGAACTTCCTAAGAAAATCTGCATGATCCAGAATTGAACTTGCAGAACTCCTGAAACAGGAGTGGCAGGAAGCTGTTGATGGGTTCAGGATCATCAGAGAAGCTGCTGAAGAAGCCTCTCCATGGCAGCTGAGGAGCCACAGATACAGCCAAGCCAGGACTCCCTGGATCCCAGGTCCCTGTTTGCAGCACACCCACAGCTGTGGAGCTTCAGCCCATTTGCTGGCCTGGTCTAATGAATATCTCTGGAGGTTCTGCAGTGTGCAGCACTGCCAGCTCTGCCAGAAGCATTCAGAAGCTCCCCAAAAGCTACCTCAGCACATCTCTGGTGCCTGCAGTCCAGGCATCCACTTCAAAAATATTCCAGGAGAAAAGCCCAGAGTGAAACCCACACAGATCAGTGGGGTGGTGAAGCCCTAGGGAGAAGTGAATGTCTGATATTGGCTCATTTCAGTGAAAACTTCCTGTATAGAAGGGAAGCACAGCTACAAAAAGGAACCCCTGACACCACCAGCCCCTCACAGTGCAAGGAGCCTAAGTGCCAAAGATGGAAGATGAATTTTCCAAAAATGGCATCCTGCAACACTGGGAGGAGAGCCTTCAAATATCCAAAAAGACAGCATCATTCAGAATTCTCCAAGTCATTTCATAAACCCTTCATGAACACAAGGCAACTGTTTTTGATGCTGTCTTCAGGCTAAAGTAGCTCCAAAGCCAAACTGGACACTAGAATTCAGGTAATTTTTTAAGATTGGTCAAAATTCTGGGGGTTTTTATCTTTGTTATTTTCAAGACAGATGCAGCAAGAGCCAAACCTTCACAGATTAGCCAGAGACGTGGTCAAATTATTAAAAGCATCTCCTGTATCCACACTGGGAAAGTGATCAGAGAGGCTGTTTACAAGGGCCTGGAGTGGCAGGAAAGGAAAGAATGGCTTTAAACTGAAAAAAAAAATAGGTTTAAATTGGGTATTAGGAAGAAATTCTTCCCTGTGATGGAGGTGAGGCCCAGCACAGGTTGCCTTGGGAAGCTGTGGCTGCTCCCTGGAAGTGCTCCAGACCAGGCTGGATGGGGCTTGGAGCAACCTGGGATAGCGGAAGGTGTCCCTGCCCATGTCAGGGGGTGGAACAAGATGATTTTAAGGTCTTTTCCAACTCAACCCATTCTGTGATTTTATCAGTTAATTGTGAACAAAACAACTGGAAGACATAGAAGAGTAAATTTCAGTTCAGACTGGCAAATATTTATGTGCTTCTACAATTCCAGTGACACAAGAATGAGGGAAGGAAGCTCTGTCAAAACTTTTCCTGTTTTTGCCGAAGTGTCAGTGCATCCACCAAATGCTGCTTTATGGGGACAGGGTCTGTGCAACACCACTGAGAAACACCAGCATGGAAAGTTTCAGTCAGATCCTTCTGCCAGAGAAGGACATTCCTTGCAGAAGTATGAGGAATTCGGGGCCAACCCACAGAGCAGCTGCAGGCTGCTGTTCACCAGGCCAGCGCTGGTTATCGCAACCTGAGACTGCTTGGGGAAAAAAGGCCAGAAAAGCTTCTCCAAGGAATGATGAGGAGGCAGAATGCAAGGCTTCTGTTCTTTAAATGTCTATAAACCACAGGATTGCGTTGCAAAAACACCTCAGAAAGAATCTGTGGTGGATTTCCATGAAGAGAAGATGTTTCAGATGAGGATGTGCCATAAACACAGAGCCAGTGTGTTTGCATCGTGCCGCATTACAGCCAGGGATAAACAATCCATTTGTGTTGTCATCACCTTCTAAATAGATGGAATTGATATTTCAACTGAGCTAGAGATTTTTTTCCCCTCCAAAAAACACTTCCATATGTCAACATTTAACCCTAAGTAAAATAAACACCACTTTTCACATTCAGCTGTGCAGAGAGAAGCTTTTCTTCACTGAATCTTTGGAGCTTTGAGGCATCTCCTAGCTCTGAAAAGCACTCAAGTTTGTCATCTTGAGGAAAAAAGGTTTTAACAGCACTTCATAAGTATCAATAAGGATTCCACTAAAAAGGGAACAAGGCTGCATTTTATATTTTGAAGCACATTTTGTGCAATTTTACAGTGGGATTCCTGAGCAGGCTCTGCAGTAGCAATTTAATTTTTCTTTTTAGTAAGTCTTGTAGACTCTGTGTTAAAACAGAGTTAAGGTTTATATAAATATGTGTTATCTGGGAAAATACTGTCTGGACATTTTGAAGAAAAAAACCCCAATGTTTGAACTTTTCCTACAGATGAGTACCCAGTGCTTTACTAACCCTGCCCTCCACAAAGCCCAGGCCTGCAGATGATTTTCAAGTATTTCTAAAGCATTTTTAAAGCAAGTAACCAGTGATAGGACCTAAGAGAATGGCTGGAGCTGTGTCAGAGGGATTTTTGGGTTATATATCAGGTAAAGGTTCTTCCCCCAGATAGTGCTGGGGCACTGACCAGGCTCCAGAGGGAATGGGCACAGCCCCAAGGCTGCCAGAGCTCCAGGAGCCTTTGGACAATGCTCTCAGGGATGGGATTGCTGGGATGTCTGTGCAGGGACAGGAGCTGGATCAATGATCCCTGTGGGTCCCTTCCAGTCCCTTCTGTTATTTTATGATGATTCCCCTGCAATTTCAAAGCGCTCAACACTTATTTCCACTGATCAATCACTTCTGGTTTCCTGAGCTAATAAACACCAACCCCACTAGCACTTTCCCTTCCCAAATTTCCAAGTATCAAGAGTGAAACAGGGGAGCTTACAAGGTGCATGCAGAAACCGATGTCTTGGCTAAGTCCTTCCTGCAAGAGCGAAGAACAGTGACCACAAAGGGTCCTGCGCAGGGCACACACTGGAGAGAATCAGTGATCCACGTGTACTTGAAAAAACCCTACATGGAACACGTCAAGGATGACCCCCTGGGAGTGTGGGGCACAGGGGGACAGTGACACCCAAAGACAGACATGCACACAGAGATTGCAGTTTTTACCAACCCTCAGGCTTCCACGGCTACCCACTGACATGCGCTCATCTTCATCCGAAGCCTAGCGAGAGAAAGCGTAGAGACAAAAAAAAACAGTGAAAAGAACACAGGTAACAGGCACTGAGGCAAATGCTGATTGATGGCTTTGATGGGACAGGAGGAAGGGAAAGATGCAAAAACTCAATGTTTATAAAAAAGAATGGCATTGAAAGTACAAGCAGAAAGCAAATGAAACCACATCCTGCCCAAGAAACACTCAAGCATTTTACTGCAGGGTGAAGGAGGAGCTTGCTCTATGCTCTTGGCTCTTTAATGAACATTAAACACTCCAAACAGGTTATTTCCTCACTTTCCACCCCCTTTATTCTTGCACATTTGCAAAAGCTCCCTGGAGTGACTGGGGAAAGGACAGAGAAGGCAGGAAGTGGCTTTGGGGTTTCCACTTGCCGGGGGTGGCGGGATCTTGCTTTGGTTCTTTTCTTTTGAGAGGGAAGTGCCTTATACACATCTGTTTTCTTAATGTGAAATGTCTGGCTAAACAAGAAAAGCAAAAGTAGGTACTGACCGAGGCATTTCTTCGGGCTCTACGGGAATAACGCTCACTGTCTTCCTACCAAGGCAGCAGAGAGAAAACAGAGGGAGGTGGTGAGAGGACAGACACAGCAACAGAGTGTTCCAGAAACACACAGTGAACTCCAGCCACGCTTAGGAGACAGTAAAGTTAAACCAAAAAATGGGAGTGATACCCTGTCAAAGCAGAAAAACCCTTCCCCCCTCCTATGTGACCCCAAATTTCTTCCCCTCTGCTACACAGTCTCTGTGACACTGGAAACGCTGTCAGATGTTTCACATGTCAACAGGCCAATTTTAACAAATTAATCTGCCACTGAATTTAGAAACAGCAGTAGAAAACATTAAAAAAAAAATAAAATAAAAATTGTTTCAACATTGTAGTCAACAGGTTCTCACAAGTGAGCTGATTTCCAGGCAAGGGAACTGCCAGTAAGGTGGAGTTATGCTCATCCAGCAAGGATTTGAGGAGACTCAGTGTGAGTCTGGCGTGGTTGGGTGGTCCATGCAAACCAGCATTTATTGATTAAATATCAAAGACCAAGGAGTTTGGGAAGTTACCTTCCACATTGGAAGCCAGCTGCTCAATTTTGCCTTTTCCAGTGTGCACTACTCAGCTTTGGCAGGGAAGGCCACAGCTTTCATCTGGCATTGCTGGTAACTGGTTTCATAAACTTAGGGTTGAAAGACATTTGAAGCCAGTGACTTCCAGCCCATTAGCAACTTCTTCATCCCATATCATGGGTGTTAAAACAGTCAGATGTTGCTAGTGGCTAAATACCCTAGCTAGTATTAACTGGTTTTAGCAAATTCTAAAATCCAGGACATTGTATTATTGGAAAAAAGCAAGGATTACCACCATAACAGTAATAACTCATCTGAGGGATTCCCCTGGGCCAGTAAGTGCTAAGGGAAATGAAACAGCATGAGTGAAACTTGCCCACAATTTACCTGAAGGCAGATTTAAGAAGGCTCAAATGGTGGTGAAACCCACAAAAAGTAAAAAGAGCACAAATGCTCCCTGTATCCCAAGGGGCTTTAACAGGTTTTTATCCTAACCTAATCTTCCAGTGATAGTGTGGACACAGGTCTGTAAAAAGAGATGGCTCTAACCCAGTCCTTGCCAGTATTAAGCTGATCAAAACTCACATTTCAGTTGGAAAAGCAAGACTGTGGGATTGCTTGGAGCAGAACTCACACTCCCAATGCATGAAAATACCTATTTTGAGGGATCTCAAACTCTATGAACTACATAGAACTTCAACACACAAAAGTTGTTGAGCTACGTTGATCAAGTCCTACCATCCATTGCTCGATGTCTCCCCACTTAGTATCCAGCCCATAATATTTCTACAGACAGAAAAGGGAAAAAAAAGTAGAATTTAGATGAGAAAAGCAAACACAGAACATTTAGACATGCACTGCCAGGCCTTGGCCAAACCACACAGCTCCACATGAATGTGCCAGGGAGAGCTGTGGCACACGGCACCGGAGCCCTCTGCAGCACGTGCCTGGCAAAAGCTGCTGGGAAAAAGGGGAAAGGGGAAAGGGGAAAGGGGAAAGGGGAGTTTGGGGATGACCAGGGTGCTCAGCAGCTTCTCCTCCCACAGCACTGCAAAAGCCCCTGTGCTGGGGGACAGGAGCAAGGAGAGTAATGAGTCTTGAATTCCTGACCCAGTTAAGTCAAGACTCATTACAAGGGAGGCGAGCACAGGACACTTCCAGGATGAAAATTGCTGTCAAATCATGTTTCCCATAAAGGTTTGTCAAACTGGGCAGACAAGTTGGATACAACTCATCTCTGGGCACCCTGAGTTGCTGGATCTCTGCTCCACAGAGCTCCTTTCAGAGCTTTTTGCCTACATTTGACCCACCTGACAGCAGTGGAAGCACCAACAAGGGTGCAAGAGGACAAGATCCACCAGTGCAGGCAAGGACAACACTGGGAACTTCCCAATGAACTTGAATTTCCTCCAGGCAGGAAGTTGTTCAAAGATCCACAGGTTTAACGGGACTTTTCCTCCTCCCCAAACAAACCTGTCAAATCTGGTCTCAGGAATTTTGTATTTTTAGTGGTGCCCATTAAAATGATTCCTGTGTGAATTAAAATCACTGGCCTAAAGTGCAGCTATAGCCAAGTGGAAATGCTGCTTAATTAAGGAAGAATAATATGTATTTTAGAGCTTGCTTACAGGCTTGAGGAGGCAGGAGTATCAACAGCCAAAACCTTGGGAAATTATCAAAAAAAAAATCAGAAACCTGTTCTGTATTGCACTCTGGTTTTAGCATTCACTCAATGGCATTAATGTAATTTTATTTTCACCCTTCAAAATGCATTCACTATTTATTGATAAACCAAAACAAGCAGCTGCACATTCTTCAGTGCTGTATTATTTTATTCCCACTTCAGTTCATAACTTACATACCAGCTTGTTATAAAATTAACTGTTATGCACATCTCAGCCTGAGAATGACCTCTGAAAATTCCATGAACTCCCAGAGCTTTGTACACGATGAGAACCTACAGATTATATGCTTTGTAGTAAAGCAGGTCAGGTAAAGCCTTATTAGAGGCATTTTAGCCATTAACAGACTGAGAACATTTTCTAACACTAGACATCAATTTAAAAAACTGAAACACACTATTAAAATGGAAAATCCTTTTTCACACACAGGAAGGATCCATAAATACACTTGTAATTTTTTTTTAGGGTTTGCTGCTTCCTTTTCATGCCCTCTCTTCTCCTCACTGTCTGACACTGGCTTATGAATTCAGCCTTGCAAAAGGCAGATAAGGAAACAGCCCTTACAAGACTTGCTATGCCACAGTTGAAGTTCCACTTAGAGGCTTTTCCTTCTCCATTTCAAGTTACTCAGCTACGTGCTTAACATCCCCTGAAGAAAAAATCTGAATGAGTGAGACTGCCCAGAGACTACTTTATAATCTTTTAAAGAGCACATATCATACTGGACTGAACTGGCACCTTTTGAGCTCTCAAGTATTTTGACCCCTCACAGCCACTTTTCTCAGTTCCCTCTCTACACTGACTCTTCTGTTCTGCCCCCAGGGGCCTGGTTCCAATGGGTTTAAGGAGGAAATGGTGCTTTTCCATTCATTTAGGTTTCAGTTAGAGGCCCTTGCTGGACTCAGGTTCCCTTCTGCCTTGAAGAGTGATATTACAATTAAATAATTCATGATGTTAATACCATTGAGAGAGAAATCCAGATGCGATTTGCTCACTGAGTGACAGTGAAACTGCCAGACTGGCAAACTCACCATGGGATGTTGGGAGGATAACCCACTTATCTCCTCATCCATGTCAGGACACCAACAGTAAACAACCTCCTGGGCTCCCACAGGGCTGCTTTTGCACCAGAAGGTTAAATTAGTTCCCATAAAGAAGATTAATAACGAGCCTGTTGATCCATGGGCAGACATTGAGTCACTCAGTATGTAGTCAACTCAAGAAATAAAACCAGGAGTGAGAGAGATTTGTTGTCAAATTGATGGGGTCAGGATTAAACATCAGAGCACATGATTTGAGCAGCTCTCTTCATATAAACACACACTCAAAGAGGAGAACAGCACTCCCAAGAAGCATATGCAGGGCTGGGTCAGGCTTTGAAACATGCAGTTAGGGCAGCTGGAGTGCCACAACAAAACCAAGCACACTGTGGTTTAGGGAGACATTCATCACTCAGCAAGCAATAAAAATATCTCAGGAAAAAAAAGAGAAATACTCAATAAGGCTTGAAGAAAAATGTGCTTTATCCCTCCCTTTAAATATACTTGGAAGCTATTTCTGTTTGTAGGTGCCACACTGTTCACATGCTGAAAGTGTAGAACAGCCAGATATCACGACACAAACCCCAAAATCTCTGCTGCTACATAGCAAGAGACCTCAGTTAGAGCTACTGTTATCATCCTCTTTGCCATCATCATGGAAAGGAAATTGGGAGGAGGGAAGAGATCATGACTTTCAACTGAGATGAGAAAGGATTAAACAATATAAAAGCACTTTTAATGTTTGGGTGCCATTGGAAGGAAGGCCATACACTTTATTTACCCAAGGATTATAAATTCAAACACAGCATCCCCGATTTCCTTCAGGGCCTTTGTGCAAATAAAGTAATCTGAAAGTCATTCTTCCTGCTGGCATCTGTTAAATGCTTGCCCAGCCTGAAACACTTGCAGTGATTTTCTTGGCCTTCAGCACACAAACAGAAGTGACACACAGGTCCTCAGTGACACAGGGAGCGACCCTCACCCTCCTTTGCCAAGTCACTTTTCTGTTATTGCTTATTCTTTGCCAAACAGGCTGTAGAAAAATAATCACATTTAGTGCCTGACCAGACATCTTACATGGGTCATCTTCCCCCACTCCCCTTGACTGTCCACTCCACAAGATTATGGGAGGGGAGAATTACATGGAAATTTGCGGACTGCTGGGCATCTCCCACTCTTCAGAGAGATTTCCAAGGTTGGACTCGAGGATCTCGGAGGTCTTTTGCAACCTAAATGTCTCAGTGGTTCTGAAATTGTAGCAAGACTCACAAGGTGGGAAGGCATGCAAACAAGAACGAAAGCGAGCAAGCCCTACCTTCTGGACCTGATAGATCTGGGGGGAAAGGGAGAGGAAAGAAACAAGGAACAAAGCTAGCGTGAATGATGGATACATAGCAACGCAACGCTCCACAGCTCGTTCTAGAGGGAAAAAACAGCATTTATACAGAAAATACAGCAGAACATGAAAACAGAGAAGAGCACAGTGAAGCCCTGTGGATTCAGGTAGGACAAAAGCAGTGTTTGCTTCGTAGGCCTCCTCCATGTGCCCAGCAAGAACACAGCATTCCTGTTCCCATTCCCACCAGGCCCTGGGATGCACATGGGACATTTTATCCCTAGGCTTTGCACCAGGCCCGAGCCCAGCCCAGTTGTGAGCCAGGACCTCTCATTTTTCCAGCCTCCCTCCACAACAGGAATGGATGTCCAAATATTCACCAACTGCTCCTCTTTAAAGGATAGAATTTGTCCTTGAGGGATGAAGCACAACCCCACACACCTTTCACCTGTGCACAGCACAGTGCCAGTGTGTGAAAATTCCTGGGAAATTCCTTGCACATATATTGCTGGCCTTAAAGGATCCCTGCAGGTTTCCCTGACAACTTTTAATGTTTCTGTGGAGCCTCACACTGTTTTCAGGCTTTAATGAATGCCCTGCTGACACTGTTTTTCCATAGTCTTGGAGCACTTTGATAATACACAAAGCCTTTACAGCCACTCTCCTGCATCTGAATTTTGTGTTCTTGGAGAACTGCCCTTGAGACGAGCCTTGTGTATCCACGTGAAAACAGAAAACAAGCTTTTTCTCACATCTTTCCTGAAACCAGAAATGTTTCTGGGCTAAGAAAAAAAAAGTAACCCCAAAGAAGCCTTCTTGCTCAAAAACACCTGTCTGGCTGCACAATCCTCTGGTGGCAAGGTAGTCAATCTCCCAGATTTTGGGGTATTTGGAGGATCCCTAGCATTCACTGCTCTCAGAGATACCTCATGGAAATCCGGATCCCAGTGCTGGGAAGCAAAGCTTATGTCTCTCAATCCTTGCCCTCCTGATCAGGTTCCCCTTCACGAAGGACATCTGTACAACCCAGATTAATGTCTCAGCAGCTTTAATTCCCATTCCAACAAGCACAGGAGGGAAAATTAGGATCCATTTAAAAACCAGCATCCCCACACAAGTACTCCCCTTTCCCTAAGAAAGCCATGAAGAGGAAAATGAACTGGGCCTTCCCACAAGGCTGCACAGAATTCCCATCTCTGGCTTCTCCATGGCACACTCAGAGTGCCTTTCATCCATGCACAGGAGCCAAACACCACAGGTTCAAATGTGGCAATTACCACATGGCTGATTAATCTCAAAGCTTTATTCCACGCTGTCTTTTTCACCTGTGCGCTTGGCACAGCAGGTATTCCCTGCACACAAGGAGCCTTGTGCCCTGGACCCAGATTGCCAATGGACAAGATAACAATGGGGACCTTGTTCAGGCCAGGCACCGTGGAGGGAGGTGGGGAGGCCTCAGGGATAAAGCCAATGCATCATCCAACTACTCCAGCTTTTAATAAAACCTGGAGTTTTGGAGGAACCCATTAGAAACAGGCATTACAACAGCTCTGCTCAAAACTGATTGATCCCTCAGCAGTGCACGAGGGAAAGGTGTCCCTACCCATGCCAGAGAGGTTGGAATTAGGGGATTTTTAAGGTCCTTTCCAACCCAAGCCATTTTAGAATTCTGTGATGGCACTGTCCTCTTTAGAAAGTGTGATACAAGAAAAAACATACACTTTTAAACAATCACCTCTGTTGCAGATGAGTCCCTCCCAAAAAGAGTCAATACATATCTAAGCAGTCAAAGAGCAGTTTCCTGTATTAGGGTATGATCAAAAAACTCAAATGTGTTTCATCCACAGTATTATCAGCAGACAGCTTTCCTGATTTCCTCATCAAAGGAGTTTGCCCACAAAAATAAAGTTTTTTATAGAAGTAGCTTTAAAACAGGACAGAACAAGCCAGTGTTGCATGGTTAGATGGTGGCAGAACAGTCTGCTAAAAACATCATCCACATCATCCCTCTCCAAATTTTCCTGGCATCTTCACACGGAGAGTATAAGACACAGATTGACCACCACAAGCCTTCTTCATTTCTTCCATGCTTGTGTAAACACCAAGTTTCATTGTCAGTCTCACCCCTCCCCATTCAAGCCACAAGAATCTGCTTTTCCCTTTTTTTTTTTTACTAGAAAGCGTTAGTAGCATATTTTATTCCAAAGAAATATGAATCCAAAGGAGGAAAAATATGTGCAAGTGAGGTGAGGAAGGAATTTACAAAACAGCCAAGGCAATTTTCATGCTGTTCCCTTAAAGCAAATGCTGCAAATGAAGCCAGGGGACCAGCACAGTGCACTTGCCTTGAACTAGAAGTACAGGCTCATCTACTGTGTGAACTGGCAGGGAAAAAATCTTATCCCACCAATTAAGGAGTGGGAGGAGATCAGTCTCTTTGCACTTCAGGCACTAATATCAGCTTACACTATGGTCTCCAAGTGTCAGCCCTTGAAGAGACATTTTAAGCTTTGCCAGCAGAACACACAGAAAGCACTCCTACAGAAAGCATCCTCCACAATTAGCCCTAATGCTGCAGCTTTTACATGTCTTAAAATGTTACTGTTAAATATTGTTAGGGAAAAAAAGGCTTTAATACATTACAGGTCAAGCTTCTGAGAGAAAAAAAAAAATGCATAGGAAGAAAAAATTCTCCTATGAGCTTGCCTCGTAGCTCCATGAGCATTAACAAATTGTTACTCAGAAAAACTGGGCTGCCCACTCTCAGCTTGCTCTTCTGCGTGAATTAACAGTGAATACCTGAGTGCACACAGGAATTTGTCTCAGGACCAAGCACATCTCAACAGTACAAGCCAAAGGGACTGGCCTCAGACTCTGCAGCTGGAAACCAAATGTTTCAAAAGTATGGCTCCATGGTATGGTAAACCAGGACCCATCTCTGCTCTGATTCCCACCAGTGGGTGGAAAACAGGGAAGGGAGGAAATACCAAGTATTTTAATTGTCCTTCCAGCTCAGAACAGGCCCTGGCAATGAGAGCTGTCCTGCACTCACTGATGTGTGGAAGCAAACCAGAAAATTTAACCAGATTAATTATTTACATCTTTGGTGGATTACAAGAACAGAGCAGCTCTGAATGAGAAGTCAGAAGCATTCAAGCTGTAACACTTGTTAGACCTGTGCCTTTCCTAAAGCCTCATCACCAAGAACACATTCTCTAATAAATATGACCTGATTCATATCTCTGGGATTCAAGAGAGATCAATACCCCTATCTTTGGAGGAACTCCCCATGTCTTGGGCTGATCCCACAGTGTGGGCAGCAGGAAAGGGGGAATTCTGCCCCTCTGCCCTGCTCAGGTGAGACCCCACCTGCAGAGCTGCCTCCAGCCCTGGGGCCCAGCACAGGAATGACCTGGAGTTGTGGAGAGAGTCCAGAGAAGGCCCCAGGATGATCACAGGGATGGGGCAGCTCTGCTGTGGGGAGAGGCTGGGACAATTGGATATGTTCCAACAGGAGCTCCATCCAACAGGAAAGATGGTGCAAGACTATTTACAAGGGACTGGAGTGACAGGATAAGGGAGAATGGCTTCCCACTGCCAGAGAATAGGTTGACATTGGATATTGGGAAGGAATTCTTCCCTGTGAGGGTGGTGAGGCCCTAGCAGATTGCCCAGAGAAGCTGTGGCTGCCCCATCCCTGCCAGTGTTCAAGACCTGCTTGGACACAGCAACCTGGGCTAGTGGAAGGTATCCCTGCCCATGGCAGGAGGTGGAACAAGTTTAGTTTTAAGGTCCTTTCAATGCTACACATTCTGGGATTCTGTGATCAGGATGTGATTCTTGTGCTCACTTTTTTTCTCCAGCTTCAGAAAACACTTTCCATGTACCCAGCTCATACCTTCCTATGAAACTTGTGCTCATCTTGTGCTCATCAGTTCCCCTCCCTGGAGAAAAAAAACCAACAAAGAAACCAAACCAAAAAACCCAAAGCACTGGCACAGTTACCCTTCTCTGTGCTGCCTGGCACAAGGTGGTGCCAGGTGATGAGATGATACCGCCTCTGGAGCACACCTGCAATCCTGCCCCACCACAGTGCAGTCTTTCACAGGAACATTCCCACATCTCATCCTGCAACTGAGTGCTCTCTGCCAAAAACCCATCTATTCCTGCCGTACCATTTCTCAATCGTGCGTGTAAGACTCTTCATGCAAAAGTCACCCAATTACTTTAAAACGAGGGAAATGAAGTGCAAGATTGAGAAATGTCATAAATATGAGGTGGTGGGCAGGAGAGGAGCCAGTCTCCAAATTCAAACCATTAAAACACCCTCTTTCACTGCCATAGTTATAGCCTGTAATGGTAGCACCTGGAAACTTTTAACTCAGACCAGCAGTGTAAATATATTCTCAAGTAATTCATGCTCCACAAGAAGCCTGCCAGGGCATGCACACGGCTTAAAGCATGAAAAACTACACGCACACACAATAAATTCATTTATTGCTTTTTAACTCCCAGAAGGGAGTTAGGGCTCTAAAAAGCCTTCTGAAGTAGTAAAGCAAGTGCTTTAACTTCTGGTTATTTAACATGGCAGCAGTGGAAAAGCGCTTTTTATGCTTCTGAAAAGTTTGCAAAGGGAAATGAAGGTGGCAGAGAACCAGGTGTACAGATCCCAGTGTCACAGCAGGTTCCCCCTCCAAGGAAGGGATAGGTGCCAAATATCTCGTGTTGATCGCTGCTTGGGATTTTCTGTATTTATGTTTTATTATACCTGCAAGATACTTGTGGCAATGAAAAACTTCCTGCAGCTATCCTTAGTATCTCTACCTGGCATTTGGAGGCTAAGATCAAACTGTTTCGAAAAGTTACAGAATATCCAAGTGTGCAAACTATTTAATAAATGTGTCATTTATGCCAGGGAGCTACAAAGCAGATTGTGACTGTGGTATTTCAGAGGGACATCCTGCCCTACTCATTTTCTATCTATACAAGGTTTTCACAGGTTTTCAGATGACAAGCTCTTAATTGCAGGAGCTTCAGTTTTCACACCTAAATTTCAGTTTACCGAGAGACACCCTTTGCAGCATCAGCTTTTAATCTGCAAAGGGGTCATCAGCTCCATTAAGTCACCTATTAATTAGATGGTGTCAGCTGCCAGGAAACCCCTATTTACTCTGCTGCCCAAACAAAACACGTGGGGCCTGTTTGGCACAGCCCTCCCACGGCTGCTCCCAAGTGCCCCGGCCCCGGCTGCCAGCACAGCAGCTCGGCAGTGACAACGCTTCCCACTGTGGGCCAGGCTGCAAGAAACACACTTCAGAAAGCAGCAACTGCAGCAGGAAAAAGCTCCCACCTTCCTCAAGCTCTGTGTTTGCAGCAACGGAGCTGAGACACATCCAGACCTGCCTCATCAGAAGCTGAGCGTGGGCAACCTGCCCAAGAGCTTCTCTGTGGGCTGGCTGCTGCAGCCTGCACTGGCACTGCTCTGCTGTCACATCCTGATCCACATCCTGCTGTCACCTCCTGATTCACTGCTCCAAAGCTCAACCAGATCCCGCTCTGCACCCTTAAGCAAATGTAGAACCACTGAATTACAGAATGGCCCAGGTTGGAAGGGACCTTAAGATCATCCAGTTGCACCCCCTGCCATGGGCAGGGACACTTTCCACTATTCCAGGTTTCTCCAAGCCCCATCCAACATGGACTTGGACACTCCCAGGGACTGGGCAGCCACAGCTTCTCTGGGCAACCTGTGCCAGGGCCTCACCACCCTCACAGGGAAGACATTTTTCCTAATATCCAATCCAACTCTGCCCTCTGTCAGTGTGAAGCCATTTCTCTTTTTTCCTGCCCCACATTTATTCTTAGTATGTATTCCCAGACCCTTCCCCCAGACTTCCTACTTCTTCCTTCTCCTTCAAAAATCTACTGAAAAAACTCGGTTGTGATTCTGTTGTCACTCTTGCAGCTACTCTGCTGTTTCACTGAATGTGCATCACCAAGCACAAGTTTTGAGCATTCCTGGTTCAGTTCACCAGGTAATGCTTTGCCAAGTGCAGTTTCTACCCTTGCTCCTGCCAACAGCAACCCATCCTTTTTACAAACACGGCACCAGCTTCACAGCAGGAAGCGGAACAATTTCACAGAGGAGTTACACAAAGGCCAGGAATCTTCCATATTCATTTGATTTCTAACAAAGTGATAAGAATCCACCACCTCCGATAGGCACACAAAGAAGCTGCACACTTCAAAGTTTAACATTAAACAAGAATTACTAACCACCAGAACTTTCTGTGAATAATTACACTGACTTCAGCAAGATAAAATCCTTGCCATAATCCATGGTTTTTTTTTCCAGGTTTTTCTATGATCAACATTAGCTCCACACAGACTATTTCAAACAAAATACAGATGAGCCTTCTGTTCCAGGATCTCTGAACATCTTCCTCCCTGGATACAACCCAGCCATCCCCCAAAGCCTCGGCCTTACCTCCTTCTGCTGCCTCTCCAGCTCTTTCATCCGGATCTCCCGCGCTTCCGCCCGCGCCGCTCGCTTCGCCGCGAGTCTCGCTTCAGCCTGGGAATGCGAACACAGGGATGGGATGAGATGAAAGCTGGGCAACCCAACGGGGAATGTGCTCCAGAAGCAGGGCAGGGAATGGGGAGGCTTGACTCAGCAAGGCTGTAAACACATCTGTAGGAGTTAATTCCCTACTGCAGGTAATGGCCCAGCCTTCCCTTACTTGTTATCTTAACAGTCAGGTGAAACACCCCCATGCAGGCACTACCCTCCCTGAGCACTTGTGTTCAAAAGAGTTCTTTAATTATTATTTGTGTGGCTGGAGAGGAAGCAGGGAGATTTATTTAAGATAGGCAGGTTTTGCTCTTTTTGTTTTGGGTTGTGGTTTTTCTTTCCCTCCCCCACAGTGTGGATTGTTTTTTATTGATGAATTAATTTGACCAACACCAAACACATTATGTGCCATTTTTCCTAACCACTGACACTGTGCACACATACCTGGGCACAGGATTTGGGTAAACACTAGAGTTCAGTAGGCACAGCTAAGACTGGAATTAAGGAGAGAAAAATTAGAAATCTCCAAAATTCCATATTCCAGTCCAAACCTCACTGGAGTGGAATTCTGCCAAGAACAGACCTCTCGAGAGATCTACGGTGCTTCATCACTTCAGCCCTGTTGGAAGCAATGGAGCATGCTATAGAGTAACATTTTTAATATTCTGATTTAAATCCCAGGCAAAGCCAGTAGGCCTTTCAGAGGAAAAAGTAAAATTAGCTCGGGCTTGGTACAGTACAACCGTGAGGAGCTCACCCAGTGGAATTCAGAGCAGCTCAGCAGGGAGCCAAAGGCACCACTCACAGCCAGCCACCCTGGTGTTGTGACACCCAACTCCTCTGCTTCTGAAACCTTTTACTGTAAGTACAGTACCCAAACTGACAGGAAAAACTGCCATAATATCAAGGTCAAGCACACAGAGAAATCAAAATGCTGGTGTTTTCAGCAGAGCTTCTAAACAGAAGGAAAACCACCCTAAAAATAAAAAAGTAATTTCCCTTCTATAAGTGCTTTTACCACTCAAACCCAGGGGAAAGGGTCACTTCAAAACCACAAACAAAACATGGAAAAAAAAAAAAGAAAAAAAATTAAAAAAAAGGAGTAGGATGGCTGAAACTTGAGTTAACAGAGAAGGGCTGATGAAAATCAAGCACGAGCTGATGCATGGGAGGACCAGGAGCCTTGTGATGATGTAGATCTTGAAACCTCAGAGTGAAGAAGACCAAGAGGGGATCTCATCAATCCATACAAATATCCCAAAGGCAGGAACAAGAGGGTGGTGCCAGACTCTTTTAGTGCTGGCTGGTGGCAGGATGAGGCACAATGGCCATAAACTAAACCACAAAAAGTTCCACCTCAGCATGAGGAAGAACTTCTGTTCATTGAGGGTGACAGAGCACTGGAACAGCTGCCCAGGGAGGGTGTGGAGTCTCCCTCTCTGGAGGCATCCCAAACCCAAGTGGACATGTTTCAGTGTCACCTGCTGTAGGTGACCCAGGGGATTGAACTGGGACACCAGAAGTCCCATCCAACCCCAAATGTTCTGTGCTTCTGTGAAGTCTGAAAAATTACTTGTAACAAGGAAACAAGCCTTCTCAGAGAATAAAAAAAAAGTCCACGGCAGAAAGAGCAAAGGGCGGGTTTTGCACAGAACTGCTCTCCCTTGAGCCCTTTGCCTGAATTTCAAGGTAAGTGGCTCTGCCATGGACAGAAATTCATAGTAGGAGCAGACCTTCCACACCTGCACCAAAAACCATCCCCTCTCATAACCTGTTACTTACAAAGCCAGGTGACAGCGAGGCTCTGGGTGCAGGCATGAATCCCCAAACTTGTTTTCAACAACACTTCCCAACCTGAAGCAGTCTGTCCAAGAAAAGAAAGCCCCAGCCCTGCTGCTGCTGGGCAAATCCCTGGCAGGCAGTGCCATGATCCACCTGCAGTGTTTGAAATTGCTCATGACACCCACTATCCAAACATGCACTGAAATGTGTGCTAAAGGCACGAAATCTCAGCTCTGGAAACAAATCTGGTATCGACCTTATGCGATCCCTTCTGTTTATTTAAAAATAAACACTGGCAAATCCCACCTGATAGAGGTGAGGAATAAAACCAGCACAAACTGGTTTTTCCCTATGGAAAACAGAGGATCCTAAAGTCTCCATAAGCAAAACACACCAAACAGTACAGGCTGTGGATCCCCAACTTCCCTCCTGACAGAAGGCAGCAGAAACAAGATTATTTGGATGTTAACATGATTGTAGCTGTCATCCTCATGAATTTCAATAACCAGCTGAGCTTTCACATCACAACTAGGTGCCTATATGCAAAATTCAGATGTAATTCAAATTATACATGTTTCCTCTTGGTTTCCTTGTATGATAAGGGCCAAAGGATTTACACACTTGTTACCTATGTTGCAGAATTATACATTCTCCCAGAAGCAAGCACAATACAATATAAAATGAAGCAACTTGAAAAATAGTAAAAAAATTTAAAATTTAGCCAGTTTTTCTCAGGACTTCCTGAGAATGAGGCTCGCTGGTTTCTAAATTACAGATACCAACTGCAGGAAGTTAAATGAATTTTGCTTTGTGCAAAACTCTATGTTTTGCTTGTCATTTCTTAGGATCTGGTTTTAGTGCCAATCCATGGAGCATCTCCACTTTATTCTATTTCATCTTTGCAGCCCTCCAGCTGCCCATTTAAAGCCAACCTGCAAACCTCATAAGAATAAAAACACATTTTCACTCAGCAGCTTTGACTAACAACAGCTTATATCTTGGAACAAGGATATTGTTTATTTATGAACTTTTTCTTTCTATAACCAAGTCAGCCTTAAGTACCTCTGAATACAAACAATAAAAACAGTATCCTGGGTTCCTGATCTTTAAGCTAAAAAATTGTGGTTAACATATACTGGTACCTTTGTAAGAAGTCATCAAGTCTGTCCTGAGCACTCATATTTTAAAGCAAGTAATTTTCATCACATCAAAACAAATAATTACAGAATTGTTTGGGCTGGAAGGTTCTTCATGAGGTCTCCAGTCCACCCTCCTGCTCAAAGCAGGCTCAGCATCACATTCAGATCACATTGCTTAGGGCTTGGTCCAGTTGGCTCTTGAAAAACTCTGAGCTGGGTGGCTCCACAGCCTCTCCAGACTCCTGTTTCACTGCCTGACCCTCCTCATGGAATAAAGGAGTAAGTCCCCACCAAATCATGTCAGAACCTGCTCTTGGCTCCTTAGTGACCCCAGCCTCTCTGTCAGAAGGCTGCTGTACCTTAAGGGCTGCATCAAGCACTAAGCAATATTTTCAAGCATGTTCTCAAGGATGTCTGTGCGCCTTTTAGATGATTACACAGTTATTTGCACCGTGGTTCCTTACCAAACACCAGCTCATTTGTGCTGGACAAAGGAGGGTTTGTAAGAAACAGGCCATCCTTCCCTAAAGGGTTTTCGAGCCCATGGTAAAATGAGAGAATGAGGGGCAGGAAATATGCAAGGAGAAAAAAAAGGCTTCATTATGTGAGGCTATCCACCAGTCTTTGGAGGGTGCTCTCTAGCTCAAGAGAAATATATCATTCTATAGTCAGGCCAGCCATCAAATGGTCAACCTGTGGCCTTCATAATCCACTTTCTAGAATGCTTTGATGGATGGAATTACTTAACTCAGAATGAATTTATTTTTCTTATATATATATATACACTCTGTAGGTGGCGTTGGTGACAAACCTGGTGTCATCCGCAAGCTCAGAGAAAATAAATCCATCAGGGCAGGGATGAGTCCACACCTCACTGGGTAGGATGTTACCAAAGTCAAACCAAAGTCTGGTAGCAACCCTAACACCCAACAAGTCCTGCAGTTAGTGTGGGAGTTGGTTTTCCTGCGCCAAAGCCCAGCTTAGGTACAATGGGTGCTGCCCAGCACGGCACAGGGCAAGGACACCCAGAGCAGCCCCACTGCCACCCCCACCTGCTCAAGCTCTGAACCTTTAGGACATTTAAGAAGAAAAACACAGGCCAGACTTTCAGCCAAACACAGAGGAGCTGTCAGATTTATTGTGGGCCTCTTCCTCAGAAGCACGGGTGTGACTGAACTCATCAGAATTTGTCAAACCACTCTCTGAGACTCTTGGACTCTGCTCTGTGCTATAAATACTTTGATTTCTTGCACAGCCTGCAAGCAGCAATGCTAACTTTACATTTCTCTCTGTGTGCTGACTAAACCAAAACAGGCTTTGCTTGGCTGACTTTGGTCTTCATCCAGCCCAAGCACTTGGCAGAGCCCAGAGTCGAGTCACCTCTAAGGGCAGTAACAGAGAAAGACACTGCAGCCTGCAAAAGACACTGCTGAACATTAAACCACCTCAAAAAATTCACACACTTCTGAAATTCAGCTTACTAAGAGCTGTTCTTTAGGCTGCCTAAGGCATAAATAACTATTCAAAGGATTGAAGATAGAAAAAGAAAAAAGAAATTAGAAATCACTATGACTGAAGGAAGTAATCTCAAAATCATCTAAAATTCACTAGTGACTCAGCAAGCAATACAGGCTTCAATCAAAAGTGACAGATCATTGTCAAAAACAGAAGAATAAAAAATATGAAGCCTAATTGCACTCATTACAAAGCTTTTGTGACTTCCCTTTTATGAAATATTGTTCATGTGATGAGAAGAACTGGCAGCTTCAGCCCTACAAAAAAAAACCCCAAACCTCATAAGAGGCTTCTGTAAAGCTCCATGGGCAAAATGAGAGGAGATGGCAACCAGACTGAGATGAACACAGCACCAGCTGAAAAATCATCACCTTAATTTATGGGACTCGCTCAAATACTACAAATATACACACTGAATTCTTGTCTTTTTATTGCAGTTACTCAAAATGATTTACAGTCACCAAGCCCTGAAACAAATGCACTGTTGAACTGCAAAATGCTCGTTGCTTTTGCCGGGCTACTTGCTCAGCACTTGACACTCCTGCTTAAGGGTCACTCAGCCTGAAAATAAAAAC